TTTAGCCAACAAATTGCCTTTAAAAAACGCACCTCCCGGACAGGAAAACACCATGGCACTGAGGGACGGAATGGTGCCCTACAATGATAATCCACGAGGCCTAACGTCCCTTCTGAAACCCTAGTTAAAGAACACAAATTTCCAGCTCTTGGCAGCTCTTGACACCTGTGTCCACATGGCCTTCCTGCTGCCCTGCTCCTGCTGTAAGCTGCTCGGCTGCTACTTCGGTTGTTGCTGCTGCGCTGCTTCCTGCTGCTGCTGCTGCTGCTCCTGCTACAAGCCCCTCCTCCTGCTGGTGTGCTTTTAGCTAACATATTGCCTTAAAAAAACGAACCTCCCAGACAGGAAAACACCATAGCACTGAGGGACGGAATGATGCCCTGCAATGATAATCCACGGCCTAACGTCCCTTCCGAAACCCTAGTAAAAAAACACAAATTTCCAGCTCTTGGCAGCTCTTGACAACTGTGTCCACATGGCCTTCCTGCTACCCTGCTCCTGCTGTAAGCTGCTTGGCTGCTACTTCGGTTGTTGCTGCTCCGCTGCTTTTGGTGTGCTGGCTTCGGCAGCTGCTGATGCTGCTGACCAGCCTCCTGGACGGGAACACACACGAATGGTGCCCTGCAATGGTAATCCACGGGGCCTAACGTCCCTTCTGAAACCTTATAGTTAAAAAAACATTAAAGAACACAAGGTCCAACTCTTGACAGCTCTTGGCAGCGTTTTGCACCTGTTTGCCACCTCTGCAGCCCGCAGCTGTTTACCACATCTTTTAGCCGGCAAAATGCCTTAAAAAAATGCACCTCCCGGACAGGAAAACACCATGGCACTGAGGGACGGAATGGTGCCCTGCAATGATAATCCACGAGGCCTAACGTCCCTTCTGAAACCCTATAGTTAAAAAACACAAATTTCCAGCTCATGGGCTGCTCGGCTGCTACTTTGGTTGTTGCTGCTGCGCTGCTTCTGCTGCGGCTGCTGCAACTGCTTGCCACATCTTTTAGCTAACAAATTGCGTTAAAAAAACGCACCTCCCGGACAGGAAAACACCATGGCACTGAGGGCTGCTACTTCGGTTGTTGCCGCTCCGCTGCTTTTGGTGTGCCGGCTTCGGCTGCTGCTGATGCTGCTGACCAGCCTCCTGGACGGTCAAACACCATGGAACTGAAGGACGAATGGTGCCTTGCAATGGTAATCCACGGGGCCTAACGTCCATTCTGAAACCTTAGTTAAAAAACATTAATGAACACAAGGTCCAACTCTTGACAGCTCTTGGCAACGTTTTGCACTTGTTTGCCACCTCTGCAGCCCGCAGCTGTTTACCACATCTTTTAGCCAACAAATTGCCTTCAAACAATGCACCTCCCGGACAGGAAAACACCATGGCACTGAGGGACGGAATGGTGCCCTACAATGATAATCCACGAGGCCTAACGTCCCTTCTGAAACCCTAGTTAAAGAACACAAATTTCCAGCTCTTGGCAGCTCTTGACACCTGTGTCCACATGGCCTTCCTGCTGCGCTGCTCCTGCTGTAAGCTGCTCGGCTGCTACTTTGGTTGTTGCTGCTGGCAACTGCCTGCCACATCTTTTAGCCAACAAATTGCCTTAAAAAAGCGCACCTCCCGGACAGGAAAACACCATGGCACTGAGGGACGGAATGGTGCCCCGCAATGATAATCCATGAGGCCTAACGTCCCTTCTGAAACCCTAGTTAAAAAATTTCCAGCTCTTGGCAGCTCTTGACAGCTGTGTCCACATAGCCTTCCTGCTGCCCTGCTCCTGCTGTAAGCTGCTCGGCTGCTACTTCGGTTGTTGCTGCTGCGCTGCTTCTTGCTGCTGCGCTGCTTCCTGCTGCTGCTGCTGCTGCTCCTGCTACAAGCCCCTCCTCCTGCTGGTGTGCTTTTAGCTAACATATTGCCTTAAAAAAATGCACCTCCCGGAGAGGAAAACACCATGGCACTGAGGGACGGAATGGTGCCCTGCAATGATAATCCACAAGGCCCAACGTCCCTTCTGAAACCCTAGTTAAAGAACACAAATTTCCAGCTCTTGGCAGCTCTTGTCAACTTGTCCGCATGGCCTTCCTGCTGCCCTGCTGCTGCTCGGCTGCTACTTTGGTTGTTGCTGCTGCGCTGCTTCTGCTGCGGCTGCTGCAACTCCTTGCCACATCTTTTAGCCAACAAATTGCCTTAAAAAACGCACCTCCCGGACAGGAAAACACCATGGCACTGAGGGACGGAATGGTGCCCTGCAATGATAATCCACGAGGCCTAACGTCCCTTCTGAAACCCTAGTTAAAAAACACAAATTTCCGGCTCTTGGCAGCTCTTGACAACTGTGTCCACATGGCCTTCCTGCTGCCCTGCTCCTGCTGTAAGCTGCTCGGCTGCGACTTCGGTTGTTCCTGCTGCGCTGCTTCCTGCTGCTGCTGCTGCTGCTGCTGCTCCTGCTACAAGCCCCTCCTCCTGCTGCTGTGCTTTTAGCTAACATATTGCCTTTAAAACAAATGCACCTCCCGGACAGGAAAACACCATGGCACTGAGGGACGGAATGGTGCCCTGCAATGATGATAATCCACGGGGCTAACGTCCCTTCTGAAACCCTAGTTAAAAAACACAAATGTCCAGCTCTCGGCAGCTCTTGACAACTGTGTCCACATGGCCTTCCTGCTACCCTGCTCCTGCTGTAAGCTGCTTGGCTGCTACTTCGGTGTGTGCTGGCTTCGGCAGCTGCTGCTGCTGCTGACCAGCCTCCTGGACCTGAAAACACTATGGAACTCAAGAACGAATGGTGCCCTGCAATGGTAATCCACGGGGCCTAACGTCCCTTCTGAAACCTTATAGTTAAAAAAACATTAAAGAACACAAGGTCCAACTCTTGACAGCTCTTGGCAGCGTTTTGCACCTGTTTGCCACCTCTGCAGCCCGCAGCTGTTTACCACATCTTTTAGCCAACAAATTGCCTTAAAAAAACGCACCTCCCGGACAGGAAAACACCATCGCACTGAGGGACGGAATGGTGCCCTGCAATGATAATCCACGAGGCCTAACGTCCCTTCTGAAACCTTAGTTAAAAAACACAAATTTCCAGCTCTTGGCAGCTCTTGACAACTGTGTCCACATGGCCTTCCTGCTGCCCTGCTCCTGCTGTAAGCTGCTCGGCTGCTACTTCGGTTGTTGCTGCTCCGCTGCTCAAAGCAAGGAATGGTTTCTGGATGCTGGACGCACGACGCCAAATAACAAAAAACTGCCTAACGTCTCGTCTGAAACCTTTAAACAAGGCTACACCTGAGCCTCCTGCTGCTGCTGCTGCTGCTGCTGCGCCCCCGGATAATAATGCTGCTGCAGCTGCTAGCGTACTGGCTGCTGCTGCCTGCTTACTGGCTGCTGGCTACTGGCTGCTGCTGGCTGCTGGCTGCTTCTGCTGGCTGCTGCAAAAACGTGGGTCCCGGACAGGGAAACACCATGGCAGTGAAGGGCGGATGGGCCAGAAAAAAATGATCAAAAACTGCCTAACGTCTCGTCTGAAACTGCTCTAAGCAAGGCTACACCTGAGCCTGCTGCTGCTGCTGCTGCTGCTGCTGCCGCCTGTTCAAAAAACAGCACCCGGATAATACTGCTGCAGCTGCTAGCGGCAGCTGCCTACTGGCTGCTGAGTCCTGGCTGCTGACTACTGGCTGCCGCTGCCTGCTTACTGGCTGCTGGCTACTGGCTGCTGCTGGCTGCTGGCTGCTTCTGCCCGGAGTCCCGGACAGGGAAACACCATGGCACTAAAGGCGGATGGGCCAGAAAAAAATGACCAAAAACTGCCTAACGTCTCGTCTGAAACTGCTCTAAACAAGGCTACACCTGAGCCTCCTGCTGCTGCTGCTGCCGCCTGTTCAAAAGAGCCCCCGGAGAATGCAGCTGCTGCAGCTGCTGGCGGCAGCTGCCTACTGGCTGCTGACCTGGCTGCTGACTACTGGCCGCCTGCTGCCTGCTTACTGGCTGCCTGCCTGTTGGCTGCTGAGTCCTGGCTGTCTCCTGCCTGCTTACTGGCTGCTGGCTACTGGCTGCTGCCACTGCTCTGCTGCTACCACTGCCGCTGCTCTGCTGCTGCTACTGCTGCTGCTACTTTGGAAAGCTTCCCAAGACCCGTTGTTGTATTTGTTGTTGTCCACAACCTCTCTTCCCTGACGCGCTCCCCCTTGCTGTCGGCCGGGGTCGGCGGATTTATATATATATATATCTCTCTCTCTCTCTCTCCCCCCAAGTAGTCACTGCGGCTGTTTACACAAAATGCTTCTGTCGGTCGTGTAGTCCACAAGCCCTGTGAGTGATATTATATATTGCCACGTTTTTTCAATCCGAATCAGAAAACCTGGCACACCCAACCACAATACGCGTCCAATTGTCGGCAATCTGGTCATGTTATTCCCATATCCCAAAACAAGAATCGTTGGTATTCTGTCTAAATATTCTAAAAAAATTCTATTTCGTATCTCCAATGCTCCCATTCACGTTTTTATTTCGGCTAACCCGTGTTAATTAACCATAATTAACCTCCATTCAATCATTGGCAACCTGGTAGACCCATGTAGTCCCCCCAGGTCAGGGGTGTCTCAGCTCAGCTGAGTGATGACATCGCGGTAGAACCATGGGATAAACCCCCCCCCCCATTGGGATATAACCCCTACAACACCCTACAACTATGTTTAGCTATATAAGTATGATATATATATATATATACACATATATATATATATACAATTATATATATATATAAGTCATAGAACATCATATAACCACAAGTAATCGCCCCGAGACTCAGATCCACCACGGAAGTCAAACACGTTGGAAAAGTGGCAGGGAAAAACCTTATTGGAAATTGGAAGGAGAAAAAACCCTGCCGCAGACTACAAAGAGCAGAGAGCATAACCATATAGAAATATATATATATATATAATATAGAACCACTTTGATTTGTGAGTGAAACTGCCCCATTGGCATGGCATGGAAGGTACACCGAAGCTCTAGATTGGCATCTCTTCAAGCAGGTGGTCTCCATCGTCAGTGAGCGTGGCACCCAGCTGCCCAGCGGACAGCGGGTGGTCTATGGACGCTCCGATCTGGCGAAGCACAGCTGTAGCCCCAACGCCGTGACGGAGGTGGGGATGGGTAAGTGCCATGTTAGTGCTGAAGGGCCCTGAAAAACTATCCGATGTTATTTGATTTATGTGGTTTTTCTCAGGTGTTACTGTTGGCCCTGTATTCAACATTGTAATTATTCCCCATGTTTTTGTTGATGAATAATTCCAATTTCAAGTCACTGTAAATCCCCAGTTTTTTTTATTTCTCTCTATGTTTGTGGCTTTAAAATCATCCAATCTTTTCGGTGTCCCAACGGCTTTCCCAAGCCATTTGGGCCTATTTGGCCCCCCAGGTGCTGGGAGAGGATGGTCTAAGGGAGGTGAGGGTCATAGGCTTCAAGGGCATTTCGGAGAATGAGGAGGTGACCGTGACTCGGTGGTCAAGGCACAAAAGTATTACAAAAGCAGTTACTAAAGCACCTAAGATGGAAAGCAGGAATGGGATCAAAACTTGAAACCAAGAAAAGATGGGGATTTGACTTGACTGTCCATGAATGGTATTTTAGGGGATCTTTCTGGAATCACAGGTATGGTCCTCAAAGATATTTAGACGTAAGACGTAAATCAAATCTAAACTTTAGAGGTGCAGGTATGACCTGAAAGTGGGTTTGGAGTGGATTGGGAATCGCTCCTCCCGTATCGCAAAATCAAGATCAAATCTTGCTGTTTTGTCCAGTCCCTCTTGGTTGAATTGAAGGTATGATATATATATATATGATATATAATTAGGCCTCAAAACATCTCAATGCAGATAGAAGAGCTTCCAGTATGTTGAATGTGATAGATATTTATGGATGATGTTTACCTCATGATTTGAAATCAATTTCCAGGTTTCCAGTTTTTTTCTATCTTTTTTGGGTTCCCATCGGTGCTCAGATCTAGGTAAGCTATGTGCCAGAAGAGCTCCTTCTGCAGCCCACGACCGCCCGCAGTCGCGGAATCCGAGAATTACGACAGGGATATCTGTGTCGCTGCACTCGTTGCAAGCTGGACTGGGCCACTGGGCCCCTGACATTTTTTCGTCGATTCTTTCATGTTTTGGAGGCGATGGCAATTGGATGTCCAATAAGAATTGTATGTGTGGATGCCCTGTCACAACATGCAATTGGATACAGATTTAGGTACCACAATGTACCACACCACACCTATACGTGTTATCAACCATCATCATATTTCCGTCTAGCAGGACCAACAAATCCAGTTGAAGGATGTTGATGCCCAAACTCGTGAACCATCCATGTGACTACTGGAAATCATTCAGCCAAACAGATGACCCATTAAACATCATTAAACTACCCTAAGCTTGCCCATTGGTCTTCATTGGTCTTCATTGGTCTTCGTTGGTCTTCATTGGTCTTCATTGGTCTTCATTGGTCTTCATTGGTCTTCATTGGTCTTCATTGGTCTTCATTGGTCTTCATTGGTCTTGTCTTGTCTTGGAGGCCCGAGTTGAAAGCCTGCAATTTTGTCCAAAAAAGGCAGTGATTTCTCCTCACTTCCCCAATACAGGCCAAGATTGCAATTTTGGGGTACGCCTCATTTCTTGGACATGTAAGGTCCACCATGGGTCCACCGTCCATAGGTCCATAGGTTAAATCGTGTTAAATCCACATGTTTGAGCTGGGGACTTGTCCGCCACTGGGCAGATCTATCCTCTTCAACTGGTAAATCTCCAGTTTTGATGGACCCCAATTTTTACCAGTCGAGTAATGGAAAAACCTCAAGTTTTCATGGTTAAATGATGTTAAATACCAACTTTGAACAGGACGGAAGCGATGTCCCAGAACTGGCAGCGGTGGGGGAGAAGCTTCGACATGACCTGGCCATGGAAGATCTCAATGGGAGGCCTGGGCCCATGTCGACTACCCAAAATGCATCAAGACGACCGCACCCCAAAAATGATCCAAAATCAACAAAACCACAGAGATTGAGTGACAAAAAATGAGAGTATGTGTATATATATATAAATTATCCATATATTATGTATATATTATAGGGTATTGATCTAAAGATCCCTGTAAGGAGTTCTGATTGCGAAGACCGTTCAGATTATGTTTCGAAGCCTTGTAACGGCTTTGTCGAGTTTGTCAAAGGCTTTTCGAGAATCCCAACATGTCTTTTCGCGAAGACTTGCCTCCAGATGAACGATGTTTGATATCTAATGTCCCTCTAATCAATGAAATTAATGTGGGTACAACAATACTAAACCATCCCCTAGTCCACCATTTTTATAGGTGGTTTTTCCAACATGTAACGATTCCCGGTGGTAAACATGGCATTGCTGGCTCAGGCTGCAGCTCCTGCAGCGCTTGGACGTGTCTTTGCCCTTGGCCATGGCCTCCAAGGCCCGTGTGCGCTTCAAATTGGCGCAGGTCGCTGAGAAGTCGATGCCACAGGAGGCCATCCAATTGTACCAGCTGGCCTTGGATGAGACGGACATCGTGTGGCTGGGTGGTGTGTTATGTATGTTTAAGTCACTGAAATAATGATTAATTAATTATTATTATTATTATTATTATTATACATATATATATTTATCTATATGTATATATATATATATCTATATGTATATATATATATGTTTTTTTCAAGGCACCTGGGTTATGATTCAGGTGTTTCATGTCGCTTTATTCTTGAGTTTTTACAAGGCAGGTGGTCAATTATCAGAAGTAGCAAGGTATATCCGGTGTTGTTTATTAAGGAAACAAAGCAACTTTCCTCGTGATTAGGTCTTAGGTATATATGTATACTGTGGATAAATAATGATAAATATAGAATGAAATGTTTTCCACATCAGATTAATGCGATCGAAGCATTGTCTATTTGGACCTTTGAAGTCATTCTGTATCACGTTTCATTCATCATGTCATAGAATGATCCAGGATATAACCTATTGCTGATGAGCACATCCCTCACGAAAAGGGGGCCTCTTCTTTTTTCATGGCCATTGGTGGGGGATTTCTGATATTTCTGGTTTCGCTTCAGGTTGGGACAGAAAGGTTTGCGCAATGCCAGTAACATCAAGCGTCGCCTGGGGCAATTATTGGAACAGATGTGATCGGCGTTTGGACCAACTCGCAGCTGTAAAATGTGCTGCTTTTGTTGCGCGGCCCGGGGGGCCCGGATCGACCTGAGAGGAATGGGTTTTAACTGGAGGACCAACATGATTCAACTTTGGTTCCAGAGATAACTTAACAATCTCAACATATCTCAACAGTAGCAGTTCTTCGCTTCCCAACATTTCCCAACTCTTAAGCCACGGGTGCAGGTCGAGCCTTTGTCGGAAGGATCTCTGAGCAGCTTCAGATCTGTCATGGAGGAGTGGGAGCCCAGTAGGTTATACTTATAGAACTGCACAATTCTAAAAACACACTTATATCATGGGCAAAGGAAAAACATCTATATTCCACAATCTAGTCGATTCTTCCATGTGTGCATATATATAACTACATACATACGTACATACGTACGTACGTACGTATACGCATACATACGTACATACATCCATGCATCCATGCATCCATGCATACACATACACATACACATATACATACACATATACATATACATATACGAAGAGTGATAATATTTTACAGCGCCCAGTGTTCGCCAGGAGATCTTGGAGTATGTCTTTGGGAAGCTCTTCCCTGGCCTGAGCAGAGAGGCGTGGCCCAACAGCGCCAACCTGAACCTCTACCGCGACGGGCGGCAAGGCGTAGGCGGGGCGCCAGATCTTTGGGCCAGACATATGGGAATCACCTAGTTATGTGTGGATATATAGTGATATATATATATATATATAAGAATATATTAGATAATCTTAGACCATCTTTGAAAATCTCAGATAATCTTGGATAATCTTAGACGACAACCTTAGATAATAGAAAACATGTGTGATGGCGGGACCGTAAATCCAGGAAACGAAGATGCACTTGGATGTCATCTCACTTGCAGCAGGAAAATCATCCAACAATTCTAGGCAAGTCTGTTCCATCACTTTCTGCTTCGTTGGCCAGAGCGATCCCAAGTAACCCAAGTAAACCACTCAAAGGCAGCTAGTGCAGCTAGTGGATCAGAGGATATACAACACTCAAAGGCACCCAGTCAATAACTGCCAGCATTTGGGGAGCCAGGGTGAGCCAATCCCAAGGTGAGCGAATCTAGAGTTTTACTTGGGTTTAGTATGGCTAGTATGGTTACGATTTTTTTTAATGGCACTTCTGATTTGTTGGGATTCCTTTTCTATTTGTTTGTGCCAAAAATGCGGGGAGGTACCCCAAAATTGCAGTTTTAATAGGGAAACTTACGACAACCACAGGATTTCAGCTGGAAAGCCACCCCACATGCCCTGAAATGCCATGAGGCTGGCACGCAGACGATGAGTTGCTATTCAAGGGCAAGGCGCTTGCTGAGGATACCCATTTTTTGCCACCAACAAATCACTGCAATATACCGATATATCGGAATATAAACATGAGAATGTGATGGACTGTGGCGGGAGTATGGCCCAAAGTGAGATCAACTATGTCTATGTACATTCGTAGCAGAGATGGCCGACGCACAATATGTAAAATGCGAAGGATTTTCCTCATCAACGCAAGGATAGAAATTACCAGCAGACATCAGGGCCTGCTACCAGCAAGTGTCATACACAACCAGCTGGCTATATGTCATACCCGGCCAAGGATAACTTGGCTGGGGTATTTAATACAAATAATGCTCTTCGAATTGGTCTAAGGGAAAATTCGCAGGCAACTTGTTGATTTTTTGGGGTTATATCCGGTTTTTCCAGTCTGTTTCCCTTGCCCTGCCAGAAAATCAACATGCATATATCTATATGTATATGTATATATATATACACTTGTATTAAACATTATAAATTATCAATTATATTATCTGTTATATATTACATATATATATATATCATATATTATATATTTATATGATATATTATATTTTGTATACTATATATTTTAATCATATATATATATATACATATTATATGTGCACATGCAAAAACCTCTATGAAAGTTGATTGGGGAAACCTATGGCCTGTGGGTATTTCATGTCTATCTTAAGAAACCATGTTAACCATGACACCTTTGGGTTTTCTTTAGAAAAAACATATATGTACCTATCATATGTCCATCATTTGCCACCCATCATGGTCCATATGGGGGGTCACCAGGTAGTGGCGAAAAAACATCAAGAAAAACATGGTTTCCGGTCCAGATTTTCCCTCAGAAACCAATCCATTGAACATCCAAGTGGCTATAATATTATTAAAACTTATAAAGTTTTCCAGGTCTTGCCCGCTATCTAACAGGACATTCCATTTAAACAGGCCCTAGCACCCCATCACTTATAAGATGGTTATACTTCGGTCGCAAACCACGAAATTGTGGGAAAAAACAATTAAATCCACTTTTCATTGGTTTCCATCAGCATTTCTCATGATTAACCCATGTTAACCCCTATTTTTGATGGTTAAATCATGTGAAATGAGCCTAAGAATGGCCTTTTCGTTCGCCAGGATTCGGACTGTCCCGTGGTGAGCATCTCCTTGGGCGCGGCACGGGAGCAACTCAGCAGAACCTTGAACATTTCTTACACAAATTATGGATTAGAGATTCTATGGGCTAAATATGTGCCACATCTTTGACCACTTTGACCACTACCATGTCATAGAGTCATAGCTCACTTTCTCACCTTTTCTTTTTGGGGAAAGGGGTCTTTGGATGTCTTTGGCTTGATGTCCTTTGAAAATCTGCGGGTTCATCATGAGATTAGCCTCCTCGCGCATTTGCGTTTTGGAGAATCATGGAGAATCACACATGGCTGGTTTGGAATTCTCAATTTGTTTTGTATTTTTAATGGAATTTCACCTTTTTCAACCTTTATGAAAATCTTGCAGCCTCTAGCTGAGGGAAGTTAAAACAACATTTTTTTTTTCATTTTTTCATTTCCATTTACATGGTTTTTCATAAAAATATCTTTTTTCATTGCCAAAATGAGCTTTCATTTAAATAGATTTTCATCGGGATTTTCATGTCGCTTCATGGCATGTATCTTGTTCATTAGCAATGCTTGCTTTGCTCCTCAGCCAAAATGTCTTGGAAAAATGTTGGGGTACTTTTTGCAAAAGAAACAATTTGAATGAACGTAAACACAAACAGGAAACAAACATAAGACAGCACAATGCGACACTAGGACACAATGAACAGGACACACACATCGAAAAAAAACCAAATGAAAAATGGACATGTCTGACAGCATGAACATATAAATGAAAAAATGAAACCAAAAAAACAGGTGATAAACAAAAAAATGAAAAAGGCTGACGACATGAACATGTAAATGCAATAAAAGAAATGAACACCGAAATCCACATGAAAAAGAAAATGAAAAGAACAATGAGAACAAAATGAACACCAGAATCCAAATGAGAAAGAACAGGGAAAAAAATGGGAAAAAACATGAAAACCAAAATCCAAATGAACCAAATGAAAAGCAAAACGAAAAACAACATGAAAAACAATGGCCATTGATTGGTGGGACCGTAGGAGTTATCCAAAATTTGGAAAAACATAATTTTCCTCGAGGGATTGTAATTTTTTAAACATGTTTTTTTCCATTTGTTTTCGTTTTTTTTTAAATGTTTTTCATTAAAAAAAACACGTAAAAATCCAGAAAATGAAAAAACACATGAACAACATGAACAAAAAACATGTTTGTTTTTTGATGGTGGGAACGCAGGAATTGCCCAAAATCTGGAAAAACCTAATTTTCCTTCGAGAAATGTTCATGTTTTTTTCACGTGTTTTCATTTTTTTCCGGTGTCGTGTCGGAGTTCGCTTCTGTGGTTTCGTACTGTTGAAGGGAAGTTGTGGATTCGGGCTGAACATGGACATCGTTTTGAAGTGTCGTATGACTGGCTCCTTTCATATGACGCGTCGACGTGTTTAAATATCATGGAACGCTCTCAGATTTGACTCCGTCAATAATCCAAAAGGGTATTTCTTCACAGGACCGTTGTGCAGTCTATTTCCATGATACCAGTCCCGTCAATCTCCGAAGGAAAAAGGGAGACAGTTTCTATGATGCCGAAGTCCTTATTGGGGGGATGGGACTGCCAATTGAAAGTGACAAAGATGGGCTGGATTCTAGTCAGCCCGAGTCTCCTCGAACTCTGATCCCGTCTTCTCTTCTCCAGATATTGTCTTTGAAAGAGGATTCCAACCCCCTTTCCAAAGACAAAGTAAGTAAGGTCTTTAATTATATATATATGTCTTTATTCAGTTTGGAGGAGACATTTTTGCGGTGTCTGGAGGGAGTTGAGGTGGAGAAACGTCTGGGAAGACCTCTCAGGGGCAATCCAGGTCTCTTTGTCTGCAGGCTGCTGACGATTCAAGAAAGTCAGGAGGTTAGAGGCCGTATATTCTTGGAACGCAGAGCAATCATCAAAGTGGTCCAAAAACATCCAAAAACCAGGAACGGACTCGAGTGCAAGTTCTTCGGATTCAGAAGTATTCAGCTTCTATCGCGCTGTGAACCGCCAAGTATCAAGAATGATTCCAGCGGACATTCATGCTGATTTGGTCCAGAGGACTGTCGCCCATCGATTGCTCTGCCGGCCGCTGCCTTCTTCAATGGAAGAACTCTTGAACAAGACAGTCTCCGATGAGGAGGAACTGCTTTTGTTGGAGTCAGTGGCTGTCATTGCTACAGTGTTGGATGAATCCAAACAGAGAGGAGTGCTGACTAAGGATACATCCGAACCAGAACGGGATTCCGCCGTTGCGCCGATGATGTTAAGGAAAGCTGGCCCAATTTGGATGCGGTGTCCGAGGATCCGGACCGAAGATTTGGCAAGATTGTCAAGAATGCTTCCATTGTGTCCTAGTGTCGCATTGTGCTGTCTTATGTTTGTTTCCTGTTTGTGTTTACGTTCATTCAAATTGTTTCTTTTGCAAAAAATACCCCAACATTTTTCCAAGACATTTTGGCTGAGGAGCAAAGCAAGCATTGCTAATGAACAAGATACATGCCATGAAGCGACATGAAAATCTCAACGAAAATCTTTTATTTAATGAAAATCCATTTTGGCATTAAACACTAAATATTTTTTTGAAAAGCAGTGTAAATGAAATTGAACAAGTGAACGCGTAATTAAAACCTTGACTTCCAGTTTAAGGCTGCCCAAGAAAGATGTAATTCTACCTACGTTTGGCTGGAAACTTTAGGTTTTTGACGAGAAGATCATCCACACACACATATATATATTATGCACATACATATTACATATGTACATATATATAGATATATAGAGAGATAGATATCCATAGATGCATCTGGATAGATTCTGGTTAGGAAGAGGAGCCATCCCCAAATTCAAATGGCATTTTTTTTTACGCCAGTGAGTTACTACAATTTTTCGAGACTTTACGAAACAATATCATGGGGATATATGAATGGGATATCATCGACAACAGAAGATCGTGTTGATATATGTTGATGTTTTGTACTATGATTCATGAATGGATGACCATTACAATATTTATTCATTTGTTCATTTATTTAGTAATAATAGTGAGTGATAATAGATATATAAATATGAATATAAATATGAACATAAATAGATATACATCCATACACACACTATATATATATGAAACCTGCGGCAATTTAACTTAGCTCATTTTTCATGTAGCTCTGGAACATCATTTTATGAATAGATAATTTTGATAGGTAAATCGGATGAAATCGGTAAATCCTGATTTTCATCAGCAGTCACCGAGGTTTTGGATTGCCTTGAAGGATGGCACAGCTGGTGATCCTCCACGGCGGAGCGGGGCCGGGGGCCTTGGATGGCCCATGGCGCGCAGCTGGGGTTGGTACCTTGGATGCTGCGCAAATATGATGAATGTGCTATGAATCATAGGATATCATAGGTAACTTGATCCATATCACTCCATATCCAATTAATATCCATAACTTTCAATTTCAAGCATATGCAGCATATGTGTTCTGTTGGAGTTTGGTGGTATTGGGCATGTTTCAAGCGTTTAAACCATATATGGGAAGATCCCCAAGTGATAATGATATTTGGGCAGGGTAAAGCCACCAGGGTAGTGATTTTGCAGATATTTGATGGAGAAATATGGAGAATTAATGATGACTCCTTTGATCAGTGGTGATCCTGAGCTGCCGAGCTGCCAAAGGGTCGTTTCAACTTGTCACGGCCGTCTCCTGCAGGGACACAGTGATGCAAAGAGGGCAGTCAAGTTCATCACTGGTGTATACAGTGTATCCACGTCAACTGACTTAAATACGAATCCTCACAAGTGGAAACCATTGGAAACCTGCTCCCATTCCACAATATCCCGGTATCCCGTAATATTACTGTGGTTAGCACGCAAGTATATGCGGAAAACATTATATATATATTTTTCAATGTACGCGTGCACACACACACAGATATATATATATATATAGAGATACACATGTTCGGGCGTCATCTGTTATAAGATTCCTCAGCCATCTCTAGAATAACTGCTTTCAACTAGCCGACGATCGCTCCAAAGCTGCAGCCATGAACGATCTGGAGCGACAACTTCTGGAAGTCCTGGCAGATGTCCAAGCTTTGCGTCAAGCCAATGAGCCTTGGATAGCCAGATGGCGTTTGCCTTTAAAAAGCACTGAAAAGCCACTGCGGATGCGGCCAGCATCTGTAAGAATCGTCAAGGTCTTCAATGTGTTTGAACACGTATATGTCAAATTATCCCAGTAGATATGCCTAAGTAAGGAATCTACTTCTGAGTTCTTAGTATACTCAAACTTTTGGCCTGCGGTCCCTCATTGCAAGATATTGGACGTGGATCAAATTGCAACCCTTTGATGAGAGAGGTAGTGTTCAGGCACGGCTAAGGTCATTCCCTAGAGGTCCGTCACTGATATCAGTTTGAATCTTGTGTTCATCCCATTTTTGGTTGGTTGAATCTGAGTTTCGCTGCCGAGTTTTCCATTTGGCTAGTGAGATTCCCACAAATTTCGCCTTCAGAATCTACATTTTGCTGCTTGAACCCTTTTTTGGGGCCCGGCACCGCAAGGAGAAGCTGGACATGATCCTGACGGCCCGCCTGGGAGGACCCCAATACAGCGGCCCTCCCTGCGAGCTGGAAACCACAGCTGTGCGCGCTCCTTTGGAAGCGGTGGTGGAAGAGGCGGATGCGACCTGGCCTAGCGGGTTTGGGACATGCAAAGCTACACCAAGACGATGGGACCATGGGTTTCACTACTAAAAATAAAAGGTGTAGTTTTAGATTGGAATTTTGTGTCCTATTTTAGGAAACCAACATCATATGGTTAATGGATTTTACGGTTCATTGATTTTGAAGGGGTAACGATGCATCCTTTCCAACTAATATCAGACATGCACCCAGAATACTGCTACTGGTAGGGTCACGGGGGATGGGACATGCAGAAACCATTAAGATCCATTACTATGTTTGGTACTTACACTTCAAACCATCTAAAACCATGGTTCAAAAATGTCAGACCGTTAGACCGTTAGACACATGATATTCCATCACTATGTTTGGCAAATACAATTATATATATATATATACATATTTTAATATATATGAACTTAAACCATTAATTTTCCTATGGTTAATTCATGCTTAATCATGTTTAATCATCTTAACCATCATTTAATTTAGGCAGCATTTTTTGCACGTCTCGTGGTGTTTTAGTTTTTTCTACCACCATGACCGAGGCGGACGGGGAGATAGCAAAAGAGGACAGGCTACCTGAGCCACTCGGCAGGGCAGTGGGGTTGCTGGTGTTGCCAAATTGATTATGGGATGATATAAGTACATACGTATAATTTGGAATGATTAATAATGTTTCTTAATTTAATGGTCAATAGCGATTCATGCATAAAGATTAATCATTTTGAATAATGCTTAAAAAATAATTAGTCATGATTGATAATGATCGATACTGGTTAATAGTGGTCAACAATGGCAGATAATGCTTATTAATTGAAAATTTAACAACCAACAGATATCCATGCTATGGATCACTTTTATGAATAACACTTGGCTAAACCAACAGTAGAGAAATATATCGATGATATACGGTATAACTTTGGTTTAACCAGCATTGTTTCAGTAAAAGTTGTAAACACATCAAACCATGGATTCACACATCCACCATACTCCCCAGCGGAACTTGGTGAAAACAAACCAGCTAGTCCCAATGCCATGAATCTCCAATGGAGGATGAATGGTTCAAACACCACCATTGGTTTGTGAATTGATGCCTTGGACTTTTGCCCAGTCCGCCAATTAAAAGTCACCCGCAGCATCACATATTTTTAGTCTGGGTGCCCACTCAGAATGAAGCGTGGGTGGCGAGGACAACCCCAGGGAAACGCAAACAACAACCACGGTTTCTGGTATGGGTTTTGATACCTAGCCAGTCGCAAAATTGCGTGAATGGGCTTTGGGTTTACTAAAAATGGCATTTTGGCAAGCACTGCCAAGGAATATAGGATCAAATTGCTAAACCCCAACATCAAACGAAAGCTGGGCAGAGGCAAGGGCAAAAGTTTGGTAGCCTTGGGGGTACATATCAACTTGGAACTGAACATTTCCCAGGTGCAGAGGATTTCCAGATGGGAGAATGGGATTTACTGATTTACAGATATCCAGAACAGAACATATGTCTGATGATATAAAACAAGGCTTCTTCAGCAGCAATCATCAGGAAACTGGCTACTTGGACCTCAGCCTTGAGTTTGAGCGATCAAATTCCAAGGGCTTGTGGTGAGTAGCCAGTGACCATTTATCAGGCGGACTGTCATTTTCCACTGTCACATCAACATCAGTGACTCCAGCCACACCCATCTTGTTGATGAAATGATCTTAAATCATTTTGAATCCACCATTTTTGTTGGTTACACGATCTCAACATCCGTCATGTTAGCTGGTTAGATTCAAATTCTTGCTGTTCAAACTCCTGAATATGTTTGGTGGTAAATCCGTGTATATCACCATTTTTGTTGCACACATATTATATATCTACTTACATCTATTATATGTGATTATCAATGTTTCTTGCTCACGTCCATTAAACTTCCAACATTTTTGTTCATAAAATCAGTACTGTATTTATCGCACCATTTTCCCTCAACGTTGGGCTTCCCCGGGCAAAAAATGCCTCATTGTTTGCAAGCCAAGATTCTTGATGCTCAAATGATTGAAATCATCCATTTTCCCAGCATTTTCCCGAACAAATCGGCAAAATGCCCCACTTTTGGCCGTTGTTTTGGTATGTTTTGGGACGCCGACCCATGGCCTCCCCATCACCGCCACGCCAAGGACCGGCCTCACGGCTCCGCGCTTTGGCGCCGACGCCCCGCCCATCTCGGCAGAGTGGTCGCTGGAGGTGCCCTGGTGAAACGGGAGATTTTTCGGTGGACGATGGGCGGTAAAAAAAAACAGGTGGGAAATCTAAAAGATACTATAATACTATGTGTAATTATTATTATTATATATATATAAATCTAAAATCTAGTACTATGTGTAATTATATATACAATTATGTATGTGGGGAAACTGTAGGGAAATGTTGGGAGATCTTGGGCAAACCAAAGCCTTTCAAAAGCCAACAAAATCGACGAAATTGGAAAATCCAGCGTGCCAGAGGAATAGTGGAGCATCTGGGCAAGATGTCATAAAAAAGTGAGGAAATATGAGGAAAAGAGGACCTGTAGGAAAGACGGAACAACATGGAGGAAAAGCATGGAAACACCATGAAACACCTACAAATTGAACTTGGCAAGGATTTTTTGGGAGGTTCCTCCTGGTTGGATCAGATCGACCTGATCACCCGAGGATGAAGGAGTTGCTCCACATCGAGATGGCATCGCCTCCTTTCCTTCCTTTCAGGTACTCTTGGGACCTGAGTCAGAGCTCCATTTATATTTCAACTATTTTCAACTATTTTCAACTGTTTTTTCTGTGGAATTTCAATGGTTTCATGGCAATGCCAGATATACCAGGGGAATCCGGTTGCAGTTTTCCACAAGTTTCCTAGATTCTTGGACCATGGTCGGTTGGGAGGGGATAGCGCTGAAGAGACCAGCGATAGGAAAGTTTGTAATGGCGTCCCTCAAGGTATGTACCGTAGGTGAATCATGGAAGAATATGCTTCAACTCAGCGACCCAACATGACTAAACTATCCAGCTTTTGTCCCAACCGATTCTTGGATCATGTGAGCCAGCAGTTAGCCAGCTGGGTTGCAGGTGGAAGCTTCTTTCCCAGAGGAATTGCCGGAACAGGAGCCGGAGCCTCCACTGAGCCAGGAGGACGGTGGGTCAAGTGGTGGAAATACCCATGACATCGCAGATGGGTCTTTTGTAAGGCTTTGACACCATTTTAAGTCGCCCATTTGTTCTTGCGACCCATACCACTCTTGGTTTCTTTGCAGATGGTGCGCGGGCCAGACAGAATGCCGCCATGCAATGGGAAACCATTCTTTTGGTACAGCTTCCAGATGCCAACAGTGCTAAATTGAAGTTTCAAAGCTTGGGTCACGTTCCCGGTGATAATACAGGTCCTACCCAAGTTGAAAGCACAAGGTATAGGTCTAGGTCATATCATGTCATATCCAATGTTGGATTGTGCCGCGGAGTTTCGTTCATGGAGCTGAAATAATGGATGAATTGCCTCAAGTTTTAAGTCTCAAGATGGTAGCCTGGGCAGCAGCATTTCATGCGCCAAGGACTTTCCTTATACACCGTCATCACATATTTCCGAACTCCCTCTGCAAACAGATTAGGCCTGGCGGAGGTTTGTCGTACTCTTTGCCATGGCTCTCTGGGTGAACTCATGGCAATTCTGCGGGCCTATGATTCGGGTGCCAAGGAACGCGGGTGGTCGGCCCGGCGTTGCCATCAGCCAACACCAGGCCGTCTCAGAGTTTTTGGCTGAATCTGAAGATGTCTTTGAGACGGCTGCGAGTGCGATGATCGTTTTGACAGGCAGCTTTTACATGTGGAACAACCTCCAGTTTGGCAACGCACAAGATGCCGAGATTGAAAGGGTGGTGAGGGAGCTTTTGCAGCCTTTCCAGCCCGCATTTGAAGAGGAGATGGCTGTTGAAAGGGAGGTTACGAAGACGTTGAGACAGGGCTTCGCAGAATGGAAAGGGCATGCCACCATCATCAGTGGCCGACGGGGCTCAGGTAAGACTTGGGCGTGGCAATCGGCTCTGAAGAACGCCCCGGGCGTCGCAGTGGTTTCAATGTCAGCAGGGCAAGTGCCCAGAGAGGCCATTGCAGCAGAGTATGGCATCGACTTTTGGGCTTTCAAGGAATGGTGGTTTCAACATGTTTCAACGGGGTTTAACCAACAAAAATATAACAGTTTAACCTAGTTTAACATGAGAGAACATAATGGGTAATTATAATGGCAAGTGTATAATGGTAAGTACCATGTAAATATACAACATATGTTGGTGGTTCACTATTATGGTTCAATTCTCCCTTAGCGGGATTATGGCCCAATTGACTTGTTTTAGATCTTTGGGATAAACCACCTACCAGAGGAGGTCCTGAAGCAGATCAAGATGAAGCTGGCGCAAACTGATGGTCTGCTGGATGTGCCTGTAATAGTGCTGGAGGTCCAGCATGCGACGCGAAGGGTTGTGGAAGGCATCCATTCCTTCGCAAAGGCGCTATCGTCTGATGAGCAGTTGGCTCATGTGGTTGTTTGTGATGCAGGGCTTGTGGCGCCCTTGTTCATGCTGTGGGGCCACCAGGGTGCGCAAGTCTGGGTGGGAGAGTTGTCCCCAGCAGAGGCAAGAGCATTATTGGACAAGCAAGGCTGTCCAGAGAAGGAATTGCAAAGATTCTAGGCTGCAGATGTGCTGGTTGCTAGTGTGGGGTTGGCCAGCAGCGGCAACGACAGCAGCAGCACCAGCACTCGCCCAGCCCGTGCACCAAAAACATCCAAAAACCGCATACTGTAAGGTTGTCCAAAAACAGCGTTTCCTGTTGAAAAAACACTGCTCCCTACATGACATAGCTTGTCAGAACCCCATCTGGATCTGCCCCAATCATGGGGACTATAGTCCCTCATTCCTCGCATCACGTGCCACAGAGGATACATCGACTTCTGCGGATTCTACGCAGCAGATTTGGCCAGTGCTGTGGAAGGGACCCTGGAAGATCTGTGCGTGCGACGTTGGGAGGTCGCCAGAGGCGAAGTGGCCCGCTTCAGGCGTTTCAAAGATTTGTCATGTGTGGCTCGTTGGCCTTAGTAAGGTATAACCCGCCATGAAGCATCAGGACATACTTGCATCAGGAGATTTCCGCTTTGATGGGTCTGTGTTGCACTTGGCGCTCCCTTTTTTTTGGGGTGTGCCATCTCGATTGCTGAGAATTGTGAGTGATGCTAGCAGTGCATCCATTACTGTACCTTGCGCTGTTCAAACTTTGATCTTGGGGGTTCGGTTGGTATGTCTCCTCACTTGTGTGCTGTACTGGTTCCTGATGAGAGATGAACACCTTCCAGATCGAACCAATCCTGCGTCGTTGTATGTGTTTGTCATGTTCTTCTCATTTACTTCGCCCCGACCTGCCGTCTGTCTAGTCTCATAGAAGTTGGACAATGTGACAATATGTTTATATCTGCATAAGATGCAGCACACGAAGGTATACAAAAGAATAGCACTGTACACACTTGATTCTAACATCCCCTATCCATAGTTTACCCATCACTTTTCTAAGTTTTTGTGTCCAGCTTGTCATGAAATCTAATACGACCAACAGAAATGGGCGTCGCAGATTTGGAGGGCGCAGACAAAACAAAAATGGGCTGGTGTTCCAAAACCTTTCCAGTTTTTCCACCAGGATTTAAATGATTTAACCAACAAAGGATTGAGATTGGGGACATCCTGGGGACATCCTGGGGACATCCTGGGGATATCCTGGGGATATCCTGCTGACACCGCCACAAGGTCCAGAGTTTCAATGGAGCCGAGCTGCTCAACGCACTCCGTCTGGCGCCAGGCGCACAGCAGCTCTATGGCTACAGCTGCTACAAGGTGATCAGTTGGATGGAACAGAACGACTGTGACCTGAAGAGGAAAGGTCCAATTCATGAATTGTTGATTTATTTTTTTAGGTTTCCCCAAAAATCATAGCCTGGTAATTCTAGTTGATGCTTTTTGAGATCTACATACAGTACTTCTCAATGTTTTCCCTTGACGATATTCTTTTCCTAGAAGGAATGGCTGCTCATTCATCATCATCATCATCATCATCACCATCATCATCATCATCATCATCATCATCATCATCCTCATCCTCATCCATCATCATCAATCACCAATCACCAATCACCACTCATCAATCATCAATCATCAATCATCAATCATCAATCATCAATCATCAATCATCAATCCTGAATCCTGAATCCTGAATCCTGAATCATCAATCATCAATCATCGTCATCGTCATCGTCATCGTCATCATCATCATCACCATCATCATCATCATCATCATCACCATCACCGTCATCGTCATCGTCATCCTCATCCTCATCCTCCTCCTCCTCCTCCTCCTCATCCTCGTCAATATCTATGTAATTATAATTATTATATTATGTTCATTTATTTATTTATTTGTTTATTTATTTATATTCGCACTTCTTTTTACATATATATTTACGCGTGTTTATTTATTTATCTATTTATTTATTTATTTGTTTCTTTGTTTGTTTGTTTGTTTGTTTGTCTGTCTCTGTTTGTTTGTTTGTTTGTTTATTTATATATTTATATACCATATACTTGTGTAGGGAAGTAAAAATCCGCCAAAAAAACGGTTGATACGTGTTGATTCGCAGTGTAGTGCAGCGAACAAATTTGTTGTGGAGTTGGCATGCCCTCCCATCGTTTTTCCAAACTTATATTGGGGCGCAAGATTCTCCGATACGGTTCAATATCTCCCAAGCTGAGTTGGGGTATGTGAAGTCAGGCATCGTCAGGGTATCTTTATTCGATCGCCCCCAGTGCTAAGTGGGGAGATGGTTGCAACTTTTGAGTCTTTTATGGTCTTTCTGGTATTTACTAGGCTGCAGCTGCACGGATTTACCAGGTCATGCTGTGGTATGGCATCCAGTGAATCTTACTTACTCCTTTGCCTCCGAAATTCATCGCCGAGTGGCGGCGGAGAACCGGTGATGTGAAAAAAGAGGAAGAAGGTCTGTCAATCAATTGGGCTTGTCTCAAAATTCGGAACCCCAACCCCCATGATCCCCATGGTTTATCTTTTGCACCTTTTGCCCTTTGCCTTTGAAATTTTAATGTTTGATCATTTTCGGGCACCCCGGATATCCAGATCCCCCCATTCTAATCATTCCAACTTGCATCGCGGGCACGTGGGCTGAGGCGGATCCCGCCAACTCCACGTGCAGCGGTTTTGCCAATACAAGACCAAGTCCATACTCAGACATGTACACACACGCACACACATATATATATATGTATATATTATATATACAATTATATATATATAGATACGTATTTATTTATGTATTATGCGTATAGGATTTTACACGGGTAACAATAATATAGCACACGCACACACATACACACACACACGCGCGTATAGTATATGTATATGCTGTTCAATGCAATTCCTGTCTTTTGAAGATTAGATATCTTTTTTCTGGGCAGAGTCTCCCAAGTTCTCTTGGTGAAGTCTCGGTCAAGACTAATGTGCATCCTCATAGACTCAAAATGTTCATTTTCAGATCCGAAAGATTCATCAAAAAGCATCATCCAGACATTTCCAGACCCAGCTGTTGGGGTTCCTTGTTGGAACTCCCCATGGTGAAACCTGGAATCCAGGAGGTTCCGGAGCCACCAGCAGTGGCTGCACTGGAGGAGGACCCGTATGTTTTTCAGGTTTTGAAAAGTTCGCCAAATGCAGATGTTACATTTTTTCTTGTGTCTATGTTACTACCATTTACTACCTTTTATTTTTGTATATTTTGGTGGTTTGATTTGTAATTTTACTATCCGGTAGTCAAAGAATGGCACTGGGGAATGGGCAATTTGGAGATGATCTTCTGAATTGCAAGCACGGGCAGCAGGGGTTGTCCGTTGCCATGTCTTATTGCCGGAGGGTGTACGACCTTGCCTACGTTCTACGTTTCAAGCCACCATCCATGCGCACACACAAAGCTGACATTTGACACGGAGAAATCCAAAGTTACAAACCCATATCCCTTTCCAGCATTGTTTTGTGGAGTGGACTTCCAGCCCATAGCTTCCTAATGGCGGCTTTGGGCATTGAAACCTCTTCACAAGGAGCTCCCTCCCAATGACCCCGAACTCGACGCAGTTTGGGATTCCTTCTTCCCAGCTGTGCCAGTACCAGAAGAGGCCGGGTCAAAATTCTTAGGTCTTGCTGAACCTGGGTTTTCTTGGACATGTGCGCAAAAGGATGCAGAAGGAGGTACAGCATCTAGATCAAAGGATTCTTTTCGAACAAGAAATACAGCATACAGCAGACTTTAAACATACATTTATGATCATTTGTGCCACTAGGACTAGGATCCAAAGCCTTTCTGACTAGCCTTTCTGGCTGGACGTTTTGCATACATTGTTGGATGACCAATCTGATCATATCTGATCCCATTTGACTTTCATATTCTTAAGGGGGTTCAAATGAACCAGATCATTGCTTCGCAGGAATGGATGAAAGGAAAAACTAGAGAGAGAGAGAGATTAGACGAACAAACCATAGAACCCCCGCATCTTTACTGGGGAAATGGCATCGTTTCCAGTTGTTTCTGCATGTTACCGCTATTTTTTCGCTTCAATCTCAAACCTCTCCATCCATCTCCATCCTAGAATTGGACGGTGGGAAAATGGATCTGACCATTTAAACATGAGGTTTCCAGCAAACTTTGCCAGAAACCAATGAATGAAATCCACTGATTGACATGTTGATCCCCATCCCTTGGGCAGGCACCGGAGCATCCGGACCTGCCGCCGGCAGCGCCCGCAGAGGCACCGCCGGCGGAGGAAGTGCCGGCCGTGGAGGAAGCAGGGCCTGTGAAGGCGGGGACTGAAGGAACGCGTTAAGCCAAACACCATGTGTGACATTGCATTTCAACACATGATATACTTGCATGTGTATAATCGTGTATATAGTAAATTATAATAATGCGTATATAAATATGTATATATATATGCTCACAGATAGGGAGACACAGGCCGTATAATCGCATATGCACACACACACACATTTTTTTTTCCTGCTCTAGCCCGTAGAGTCTGTGGACGCAGCCAGCTTGATTCGAATGTGCCTATTTGGCAGTATAGACACACACACACACATATATATATATACATACACGTGTATGTATGTAATCTGTAATGTAAATGTAAATGTAATGTAATGTATGTATGCGGTAGACACTACATGATGTACTTGCATATAAAATGCATAGCGCATGTTGGTGCAGATGTATGAATAACACACACAAGCAAGTACAGCACATATATATATATATATAATATATATATATATATGACTGTCAGTATTCAGAATATGCTAGTATTACTGCATCAATATCGTCATATTTTTTGGTATATTAATAATTATTAATGGGTTACATGTTCTAGCGTTGATTTATCTTTTTACAGTCCAAGAATATGGCAACAAAACTAGATCAAGAAAGGGATTGAGGCAACAGAATAGACAGAGACAGGGGGCCAGGAGACCAACGATTGTTATTGGGGCTGCTGTTCATTTCACTTTAATCGTCCCCAGTTGCCACTGGCGCAGGGGCAGGATGTGACATCCATGAGTCGAAGGGAACGTATTCGGCTCCTCGCTGCTTGGCAGAGCAGGGGATGGGAAATGAACTGCCTCTTGCTCTAGACATGTTTCATTGACCATAATTTACCCATGAGTCATGAGATTGCATGAGTATTCCTGGCGTTCGCCCCGGGGGCAATGCCCAAAGCAGATGAACATGGTTTAATGCAAACAAGTGATGGGCATGGATCGCTGCAGTGCTTTGATGTCATTTGTTTGACAAGACACAAATTACAGTACCGAGAAGCCTTTGGATGTTGGGTGGTGCGCGCTATTGGTAGGACGAAAAGATTGTCGGAAGTATTCTTACTCACACGTCACATGTCTCTTCAAGACCTGCCTCTTCAAGCTACAAAAAAAACCTAAAAAAAGCTAGAAAATAACTCTCAAGCATGTTAAGGAAAACCTCCTGGAGGGAGTCCCCTTTCGGCGGCCCAAAAGTTTGTATTGTGTAGCATTTTTTAAAGTTTTTTCTAGCATTTTTTAGTTGTTTTAGTTTTTTCTAGTTTTTTTTTGGTAGGTGTTTTAGCTTCTGTTAGCATTTTTCAGCTTTTTGTAGTTTTTTCTAGTTTCTTTCAGTTTTTCTAATTTTTCTTTGGTTTTCAAGTTTTTGTAGCTTGAATATGTTCTCTGAATTCTAATTTTCCTTCAGCATTCCCTGTTTCTTCTGTAGATTTTGAATTGATTGTATGGAGTGCAAGTGATGAGATCTCCAAAAAGAATCAAATATCACGCCTTTTGTTTGGATTCCTTCAGCTTCCTGTTGGATTCCCGTGGGATTCCATAGCATTTTCCAGCTTCAAATTGTTTGAAGCGATACCTCTTGAAGAGGCATACCATATGATCCTACTAGTATGATGTATGGTTAAGATTTTTTATGAAATTGCAGAAAAAGGGATGTGTCACATTGCCCGTGTGCATTTCCAGCTTGGGACATTGTGTCAACAGTGAAGGCTTATCAAAAATGGGCTCCGACAGGGAAAAAAACATGGGGTGCTGTTTCTGGTGGGGTGGCGTTCTGGATCGGGGTGGGCAAGGATGTTTATTGCAATCAGGAATTGCCAATGTTGAATATTTAGTATGTACGAAGGAAAGGTGAGCAGGGACCACAGTACTTCTTTACTTCGATTTTTTCCCCGTTTGATCCTTTGAAGAAAACGTGGCGGAGAAAGGCTGGACTAAGCCTTGCAAATCTTACCGCAAGGAACGCGAGGAAGCGCTGCTGACCCAAGTCGATGCCCAGTTCGCACAGCAAGAGGCAGCAGCCGCAGCAGTTCCCCCGGCCCCGGCCGAGACGGAGAACCAGGTGGGGCACGCAAGGTTGGTGGAGCATGTTTACCATTTGGAAATTCAACATAGCTATGGTATATATATATGCATATGGCCCATCAAAGTCCATTTAATTCGTGGATTTACCTATTAATAAAACACTGTGATTTTCCATAGCAAAGTGTCAGTTTAACAGAGGCTATGCAGCCAAGATGTTGTCATGAACCAACCAAATAATGATGTTTGACTTAATGATTCACAATGTACTTGCCAAATCATTATGTTTATACAAGGAAGTTGTTGCGTTCATACAAGGAAGGCTGTGTTGCATTGTGTTGCATTTGTTCATCAGGATTGCGACTCCTAGCATGTTTCTGATCGGCAACTGGACGGTGTTCAGTTTTTATTTCCGGGTTCAATACACGCAATGAGGCAGTGCCTAATTGTTCATATATAATTGTTCTAAGAATATGTTTCGAGATATATCCTCCGAACTAAAAACGCTACCCAGAAACCATTGGGTACGGGTCACACTTATCAAAACAACCTTGAATGATTTGAGATCCATTAAGAACGTGACCGGCTCCTTGTGGGCCAAGAAATAGACTCTTCCAATGACCCGAATGACCCATGGCCTAACCTAACCCATGGCTAGGACAGCGCCCAGCTGGCATTGGATGCGGCCAACGCGCTCCACGAACACCTCCAGGGCATCACCGGCGATTCCGGTGACCACGGCAGCGACGACCGCGCGGCGGCGCGGAGGGAGCGCATCGCGCAGCTGGAGCGAGGCGTGGCGGGAGAACGCTTCGTGGAAGACGAGACAGAGAGCACGGAGAAGAAACTTGGAGGGTTCAATGGGTTGGTGAAAAGGGGAAGGGGAGGGTAAGGTTTGAACCAACATGTAGAACATGGAGATCATGATTGTCCAAGATGGAGAGCCTTGTAAGCTGATTTTTTGACCAATCAAATGGTGTTTTTCTATGTGTTTCTTCCTTTTTACCAGCAAGAAGGGAGGTAATCAACCAGAATGGGGATTTTGAACCATCCAACCAATAATTGATGGTGGACGATGGGGGAGATCCAACCAATAGACATATCAAAGTCACCAACCAAAGTGGGGGTTTATAGCAGAAATGGAGAGTTCAATAATAGTATGCATGTAAGATGAGGGAGGGTATCTAATCAGCATGGGGATGTAGAAACAATCAAAAAACTCCAACAGGATGGTTTGACTAGCCATGGAAGATGAAGGTAAACAACAAAATGGTAGGTAGGTTCAAGATGGTTGGTGATTTCATCAAGGAAAGTACACCCGTAAGGTTACACTCCCGCAATATAACTGGATAATTAGTATAAATCCATATAAGTCCATCTTTATAACCCCGTATTTTGAGGTTCCGGGTTCCAGGCAGCCTGCCATTTTGGTCATCTCCCAATGACACCCAGGAGCGACGCCCACTGGCTCGACGCCCGGCGCCAGCAGCGCAAGACCCGGCTGCGGCAGAAGGCGCGGGGCGAGGTCGTGTCGCCTGAGGTGGAGATCAACACGCTGCTGCCAGAAGATGCAGTGGAAGGTGCCAGGGCCTTGAAATGGGATTGGTAACCGGCAAGCCATGGTTACCAGAGGATAAGGATATTTGATGGAGAATTTGGGGATGGGTTTGAAATTTTTTGGGCATGGGTATTGGATGGTATTGGCTAGTGGTAGTAGTTGTTTGGTTGCTATGAGGCATATTTGCATGCTATTTATGTAATAATTCTGGAGTCCATGTCCCCAACCAAGGGTTTCTCTATGTTTCTCTCATGTTTTGGGGGTTAGACCTCACAGTCACCTCCGAGATGCGGCAACTGGTGACAATGGATGGTTGGTTTCCCTATGTTTCCCGGGTATTTTTGGAATTTGTTGCCCTGGAAGGATGTGGAAGATTGGGGCATAGATAGGGGATCTTGCCAGAAAGGGGACAATGAAGTATTTGCAGCATGATGAACTATTAATGAACTATTAATGAACTATAAGACCCTAGCTCTTTGTACTTGTGGGGTAAGCCCGGGCCCAGCTATTGCACCGGTTCTGACGCTTGGAAACCCACTTGCAGTGAGCTTACTGAGAATTAGCCTTGTGGTAGAGTTGCAACGTGTTGCAACTTTTTGGGCTCTTGCTGCTCGGTGGTGCGACAAATGATAGTTCCAGATGCGTTAGCTCTGGAAATTGCAAAAATATTTCCAGAGATGACCTCTAAGTTCTTGAAATTATGACATGGGAAACTAAACCTATATAGATTGTATGAGGAAGCGATGGACGTGCACACAGCCAGGCCTGGCCAACGATTCTCAGCATGAGGCCGCCTGCAAGTGCTTGGCGCGACAAGCGCATCGCTTGAGCACAGAGCGGTTGCTGAGAGCGGTGGACACTTGGCGAGGATGACAATGACAATGACAAGGCAAAAGATATGCAACGCATACAATACAATGCAATACATAAATATATAATACGCGCACATGTTTACGTAATGTACGTTAAATATATGTATATAATTATACAATTATAACATCTACTGTTATATATCTATGTTTTTGTGTGTGTGTGCGTACTATCGCTGGCATGCATAAAGATATGTAGTATGGATGAATTATACGCAATACATGTAGTCAGGGTCGCGCACCAAGCACCGTTGATTGCCCTTGCTGCTTTCTTTTTTTCCAGAACGGATGGCTGGCTGAATCTGCGACACACCTCCGAGCCAATCTCACACATTCCAATTCCAGAGGGCAAAGGATGCTTACGCCTAGCCTAGTGAGCCACCCAGAAAAAAGGAGAGAGAAACATGAGAAATAAATCGCATGAAATTTGCCAGGGAATCGTTTTTCATTGTTTTATTGTTACGATATATGTAGTGAACATCACTGCCATCGGCGCTCTCAGGAGCTGTTGCTCCTTGGCGGATGCAGCGATGAGGAAGGCCGCGCCCTCACATCCGCGGCCGCCGAGGCCATTTTGGGCAGTCTGGCCACGGCCATGGGGTCCTTGTCCTTGGAGCAGTTGATGAACTGCTTGAAACTCATGGCACTCACCGGGCAGCAGGAGGGAGACCGAGGTGATTTTATGATTATTTTGGGGGAAAACGCCATGCTTGATGATCGAAGTTTTTTTTGAGGTGAGAAGAGCTCTTGCTGCTGAAACATCTGAAACGCATTTCAAGATGTTTTGAGACTACGAAACTCGATATGGAAATCAGAAACAAACGGGGTTTTAAAATTAGGGCGACGGGCATTTTGAACACGGCGTCGCGACATTTTTAGGGTGTTAAGCCGCGGTTCTAAATTTGTTCGCCCTCAACTGCAGGAGCAAACCACTCTGGACATGCTGTTGGCTCAGCTGCTAGTTCTCTCCAGGCGTTCAACAATGGCAGACACATATGACACCACAAGGAGCACCATATTTCAAATCGTTTTCCATATTTATTATTATTGATTGATAAGTTGATATTATTCAACTATTATTCATCAATGGATTGGTTTCTGGTGGCACGGACAAAACAATCAAAATATGACAGCGGCCAGGCGCGACAGCAGCAGCTTCAGCTGTGGCGTTTTGTCTGACTTCTGTAGTGCTTTGGGACTCCTCCACGACGCTGGGCTCAGTGCGAAGCGTGGCGCCAGCAGTAGCAACTGCACGGCTACTTGGATGACTTGGAGGGTGGGAACCAATGGGACCAGAAAATGGGTGATTGTTTATTGATGTTTATTGTGAACCCCTCCATTTCTTGGTGTTTTTTGGCAGGTTCATGATTCTCACGCATGCACATTCGATGGTTGCAGGGTGGATTGTTTTTTTCCTTTGCTGTTGTGGTTGTTGGCAGCCACAACGTGCGGATTGACACGCACCCTCTTGATGGACAAATTATTGTTTGCGGTGGAATTTCTTTGAATCTGATTCAAGGGGGGTTTTAAATACTGTAACAAAAAAAGAAGTTGACTGTTGGGCTGCATAATGAATCATAATGATGATGATAATGATAATTAGCTGTAATGATAGCGATCATCATCACCACCATCACCACCACCATTACCACCATCACCATCACCATCACCATCATCATCATCATCATCATCACCACCTCCATTAATCTCCATTGCGGTTCTTTGAACTATGGTAGTACTTCTGCATATTTCCGAACATTCGAAATGGGATTGCTTGGTTAGTTGGCACTCTAAGCAGGCCAATCGTCGTTGTCTGGAGATGGTGATGCAACTGATCACAAGGCATGGTGTCGAGTTTTTTGGCAGGTGATGTGGTGAAGAACAGCCCCAACCTGGCAGGATAATCTGGACAACCAACACTTGGTTCCTTTATTTCAGAGTGACCCTAGGTTTTCTTGGGCTTTCCAGATGTCATTCGCAACCCCATGTCATGGTTGGGTTGCCCCATCAGGACATATCAGCTTCGTTGAGTCATTGAGGGTTGCGGAATCGGGGTGCGCCAGGCAAGTGTCGGAGTTCAAGGACCATGAGCTCGCAGGCCTGGGTGCCAGCTTTGTCTTGAACTACACGGACGATGTCCTGCGACGGCTGGTGATCCGACAGGTTGGGACTGGCAGATCTGGCAGGAATGGCTGCCAACTGGTTGAGCCGACCACCAAGGGAGTGAACGTGTCACTGATAACCGGGATAACCACCTTGAGTCTCGTAATGTTTGTTGGCTTCTATCCTCATTCTTGTTGGTATGTTTATTCTGTTTTTGGTTAATTTTGGTTGGTACATATTGGTGATTTCCAAGACGCTTTGAACCCAAACCCTGAGCCTATACAACACATTACAAAACAATTGATTCAGAAAGTGGTCCGAATGCAAAAAACAAGTGCTTTATTTTTTTGTCGAAACACCATTTGAAACAGTTTGTTTTTTTTCATTTGGACACTTTCTGTAAAAAACATGAATCATTTTTTTGTATAGGCCCAGGTTTTTGGGTTTCAAAGCGTTTTGTTGTATTTTTTTTGGGCGCTGGGGTCGCTCTTTGCATCACCTTTTTCGCTATTGAAGTAGGTGTTTGATTTTCAAGCGCTTTTGCTGATGACATGTCAGGGTGCCAAAGGTCCATGCACTGCTTACCGTTAAATAAGGACCCCACACGGGCTTTGTCAATATCGTCATGTTGTTGTAGAGGGTTGTCTTGGCTTTTGGACAGATTTAGTTCCCGTGAATCGCTTGAAACTGCAAGTATCGCGTTTTTGTCTTGATGGGGTATGTGCTCATACAGCTCTTGTTGGAAAATATGCGCGGACCTATGTTTGCACCCTTCACCCCCAAGCTCGTGAAATCACCAGTTCATATCCCAATTTTAGATGATTTTAGTATATTTTAGTTGGTTAATATCCCCATCGTCTCCATTTTGCTTGGTGAAGTTGACACCTGCGTTGCACCCCGGCTGGACCACCGGTGGCCCAGCTCAACCTGGTCGGCTCCAGGCCGCAACGCTGCAAGCGGGTCTGGCCAGTGAGGGGCCGAGGCGCGATGGAATGCTGCAGTTGGAGGAGGCGGTGAGGCCTGCGATGCCATTGATGAATGGAAAATTTGCAGGAAGTCTACAGACACACACACACATATATATATATATATATATATAATACACATTAATTATATATATATAGATGTAGTTATATAACTATATATATATATATTTAATTAGACACATATATATATAATTATATATATATATGTATATATATTTGTGTGTGTTATAGGCTATATATACATGCACGTACATACATTATGGGTATAGTATATACAATAAAATATCCATTATATTGGATATAATCTATGTACATGATACTAGTACATGATATATAACATATACCATACAATATATGACACATAATACATAACATATGTAGCAATACACATGACGATATATTGAATGTTAAATATATTAACAAGCTGTGGTTTCCTGTAAAACTATTCTTTCAAGCAACCAAGTGATTTCGGGAAGTCATGGGAAAGCTACGGCCTCTTAAAATCCTACACAGCCTCCACATTTTGCCATCACTAGGATTTTGAACTTTTGGAATTGATCTGGGTGGAATTCTGGTTGGTTTCAGAGACCTCTACAGTTGGGCCCTATACGATAGAAACCGGAACACCCAGTGTAAAACTGTAAATTGTCCCTTGAAGCAACCCAGTGAATGATTACATTTGGTATGGGTCCAGAGCTAAGATGAACTGGGATGAACATGTATATTATATGTTTGCAAGCTATTATTTGACGTGAAAACCAGAGGGTGAGGGTTGAATCCATGACCATAAAATGGATGGAGGATTGTCAAGATACAGTCGCACACCTAGACACACACACACACCCACCTGCACCTACATGTATATATATATAATTAAATATATGTCCCGCATGTGCCGGTATACAAATATACGAATGTATGAGTCGAGTTTGGGTTTGGAAAGGTGAACATCAAAGGCATTTTTGAATTTGGAAGATGGTCCAAACTCCAAACTAGGGCGGATTTTGGGGTTCACCAAGGCAATACGTGCTGTGACATCATGTTATCAAGTCTGGGATGCTCATGTGGATGAGTCTAAAAGTTACCGCATCAACGAACATATTGGACAACTATGGTCTGTCATTGTCATAGCCCCTTAGAATCTCTTAATCTACACGATCTTCTGTGTGATTTTTTTTTCGGATTCTGATACCTGCCAAACAAAAGTCAGACATTCAGTGGCCGCGTCAGGACACATTCCTTTGCATTCATCGCCAGCTTGCCGGATGAAAGCAAGGACTACCTCTTGAAGTTGAAGATGATCCGCAACTTACCGGCAGGGGTTTTGGTGATAAGACTCCCGTGGTTTGAAGATATGTTTTATATTATGCATACAAATATAGATAATTATATTAATTATATATATATATATGTTTTCACATAAGCTTTACTGTAGATGTTTTCATACAGGATTTGAAGTACAAGCGTCAAAGAAGGCAATTTTCCACTTCCATGATGGTCTTCAAAAGAGAGTGTCAGGGCTCAGGCTGCTTGGATCTGCATCTCACTTTGGTGAGGAAGTATAGAGATGGGATAGATGGATAGGTAGATATGTCGAAAGATAGATAGCCAGGTAGATAGATTCGATGTGCAGGTAGGTTGGTAGACAATTAGGTAGATACATAGATATATAATTGATATATAGACGATAGATAAATGCATAAGTGGTACAGTATACAACATGGATACTAGTGGCTGACTGGGGCCGCAAATGCTTCAGGTCAGGAGGCAGCTGCCAGAGCTGTTCTGAGTAGTGCGCCCCCTGAGCTGTGAAAGGGGATGGCCGGGTCAACATAAATCAGAGCACAGAAGTGGCTCGAGCTTATGTAACACAGTGTAACTTAACACAATAGATTTTGTTTGCAAGTGGTAAAAAGAATGAAATCATTATATATCATTATAGCAAGAGAAACATGGAAGCTTTAACCTTGGTTTGGTACGTTAGTGGTTTCGTTTCTTGCAGTACGCATCGCCAAGGGAACAATAGGCTCAGCAGCTACAAAAGTGAGTTTTTGGGCGTGAGATTGAATGTTAGTCACGAAAAGTCATGAACATGATTGGAGATGCTGAGGGATAAACCTTTGTTGGGCCGGTTCGTGAGGGAGAAGGTATTCAAGAGTAGCCATGAACGGAGTGAATGTCTCAACTTCAACTGTTTGTTTTCCAATGCCTTCTAAATCTTCTAATCACTTCAAGGACCACTACCCCACCAAAAGCAACCTTGATCCCCCAAATCCTTCACACGCATGTGTCGGACATGCATCGGGGCATACCCTGGTAGGCCTTATCTTGAGAGAAAAATGGGCTCACCTTTCCTCCATGCAGGGGACGAAACACGTCCAACCTGCAGAGGACCCAAGCAGCTCAGCTTGGGTGTTTCCACACCAAAAAATGGGCAAAGAATGCCCGCATTTGCACATGACGAATGGGCAAACTGTTGGAAGAAAAAGCATTGTGAGGAAGATAGTCGGATGGGGAAGTGAAAGCTTATACCAGGAGGTGACACGTGCCCAACCAATGGGTGTTGATGACAACCAATGGGTGTTGATATCAACCAACGGGTGTTGATGACAAAATGCTTCCTGCTTCATCCGGCTTCCCTGTGGCAATTGGCTCGCAGACCAGTAGCTGGTCAGTCGTGGGGATCATGGAAGGCACCCTGGGCTTCTGAGCTATTGTTTGAACATGTATATATATATACACACTAAAGTAGTCACCCACAAGAGCTCTCGGTCATGGTTTCATTTCTGGCGATAGGGCCCTGTTTTTTTTGAGTCTTGCATTTCTGGAACTCATCCAAAACAGCGAGACTTTTCCGTCCTTTTTCTGGTGCAGCTGTGCTTTATCGCTATGGCAATGGAGGACTTCCTGCCCCACCTCACCCACATGACCGGTCGACAACGGAGGACTTCGGTCCATTTCTACGACACTGGCGAGTTGCCTCCACGGATCTCCAACAAAGACAGCCTGGCGGAGAACGATGACGTGCCGCTGGAAAACTCCGTCGACCTGGAAGTGCCAGGCAGGGCCAGCAAGGATCACCAAGGATCACCAAGGATCACCAGGATAAACAAATCTCTACTTCAGATTTCAGACTAAGAAAAATAACTACACTAAACAATGATAGATAATGATAGTAATACTATGTAACACTAATAGCAATGACAAGAATTGCCATGGACATTTTTCAAAATCAAACTCGAAGGAACAGACGCCCGAGGTATCAGGGCCATTCACGCGTTCTTCCGCAAGCGTCCGGCCTCCGCCCCCGTCTCCCGGGCTGGGGCTGTGCCGGCGGCGCTCCACATCAAGAGCTTGGAGTTGGGCGCAGTCGCCAGGAGTCCGTTTGGGGATCCCTTGACACATTCGGAACATCGAAGATTTACGAAGTACTTGGGGATCATCATCTCATTATATCTCATTCATGGACATCATTTGAGATGCGATGAGATGGGATTGTTCTAGAGGATTCAAACCCATCCACCGATTTCTTGCACTTTTGATAGGGGAAATTGTGCTTTGAAGCGTCAGAAAGTGAGGTGCCCAAGTTTTGGACATACCCAAATGGTCAATAGCACATTTAAGTTGAGCTAACCTTGAAGTACTGAACTGCGCTAAACGAATCCCCGCAAATCGTCCTGTTCGGAATGGTAGATCCCACGATCATCTTAAAGTGAAGGTCCGTGTACTGTAGTAATCTAGCCGAGACCATCCGAGACCTTATGTTTTGGGTACATGTTGGACATTGAGGTACCTGCATTTTTCCCTCATATACTCATAAATCATAATATGGAGTTTTGCACGTGATTTCCTTTGTTTTCCCCAGCGCAAGAGGAAGATTTTCTGTACGAATTGTTTGCAGGGGACATCTGCAGGAAAACCCTATTATTCAGGGGTAAAAAACCATGGCTTGTAGATTGTCCCTTTAAACTAACCCCGAGGATTGCCAGCAGAGTCACCGAGCCAGGCCAGCCACTCCTTCCAGTCATGGCCTGCCATCGGGCTTAGCGCGGCGCCGCCGAAACTTGGCTCGGAGGAGTTTGTCCGCTACACCTGGCGTCGCGGCAGATCCGAAACCTCAGGCAGGGATCGACTGGAACCCATGGCTGATCTTTTCTGGGGTCTGAAACCCTCCAATTTGGGGCAAGAACTTGGACTCGCTGTTCTTTCAGTCTGGGTCCCTGGGTCTGCGGCCGATTTGTTTTTTTGGCTGCACACCCTCCGTCAACCCCCTCAAAACAAAAAGAATTTCCCTGGCTGCACCGGATTGTGGTTGAGAGTATTTACACAAGAATTGTCATGATTTTTTAGTCGAGGATGCAATTTATTACCCCCTTCAGAGAGTTGACAATGTTGACAATATCCAGTTTGAGGGTAGCGCGGCCTCTGGCCAGGGGTACTACCTACTCAGCATTCTTCTGTTGCTGTATGCATCTCTTTAGTATTGACTTAGTGACTTAGTGCTGCAACCGCCAGCTTTATACTGCCTTCGGTTTTCTCGACCTTTAAACAGTGTGCAACAATCCTGCATCACATCCACAACATCCTGGTTTAGCCTCCCACTGAGTCCATCTCTAATTTTCGCATCTGAAACACCAACGGCAGGTCGAATTGGGCCCCATGCTGCAGCTGCTTCCCAGCCCCCCTGCGCCCAGAGCCGGTCGTGAGGGCTTCCCAAGGCGTGTTGGCTGGGCACAAGTCTGGAACCCTGAGGGACGACCACAGATGAAACCCGTGAAGCTCACACTGCGCTAGGCCAGGCGATCAGCCTATCATAGCCTATCAGTGGAAGAACCATGAAAAATCCGCACTTGGGGCTGATGAAACGAGCCTGTCTTTCGGGGGTAGACCTTGGAAAAGAATTTAAATTCGGATCACAGTTGGTTGCAGTTTCCCAGAAATTGTGATGGACCAGCGAGCACGATGCCAAAGATTGGGCCTCAACAAGAGCATATTTCGTTGCGATGCACTGGAATTCGACCCATAGTGGGACAGTATAGTTCCCCAGGGGGATTGGAGTATCCTAACGCATTTGAATAGAATATGCCAACTAGTCCAGCACACCCTGGCAGATGAAGCAAAACAGGGATCCAAAAGACGTGAGTGAAATGTACATGGATGAAATGGGAGCCTTTGACTCTGCAGGGTGTGCCTGTAAATTAGAAATGGGGGTGTCTTTGAAGAATTCATGGACCTCAACACCGCAGACCAATCTACCATTCATATTATATTACACATAATGCACAATCCTGTATGAATAATATGTATATTTGTTTATATTCATCTTTCATTTGACTTTTTGGCCCACCAGTGCGTCCAGAAACACCCATCCAATACTACCATATTTTTCATCTTTAAAAGTGTTTAAACGTCTTTAAATCTCTCAGCTCCGCCACGTTCGGAGCTTCCATTTTGCCGCCGCCACGGCGCGATCTGTCCAGCGACTTCGCCACTGGGCGAGTCTTGCTCTTGCGATCCAAGCCCAAGGCCTTGGTTTCGTGCCTCTTTTCGGCACATTTTGCTGCTTTCGTGCCCAAAAAAAGATCAAAGGTGACACACGGGAGACCTGGGATCCCTGTACCCTGCCACTCACCAGTTTTTGTTGGTTTAAATCTCAGCTTTCTAGAACTTTCCACTAGTTACTAGTCAAACTCTAGTTAAGTCCACACGCATGCTTCTCAAATTCATTACCCCCTTATGCTTTGCCGGCCAATCAGTCAAAGGTCCCCGTTTCTGACAGCATCGTGGAATTGGACCTTGAAGATGGCGATGTGCTGACAATGGAGGCTCTCAGATTTTCTGAGGTGAATCCAAATTCATATAATATTCATTAATCATTCATATTCAACTACATACCTAAATAAATAAATAAATAAATAAATAAATGAAAATCAATAAATTAATACAAATAAATAAACATATATACACATATATTTATATATTCATTATATTCATTATATATATATAAGTAATGAAAAAAATAACAATAGCAATGCTACTAACAACAACATACATATATATATATATGTATTATATATATGTGATATGCATGTACAATTATAGATTATATGCACAGTTGTACCGTGGGGATGTTTTTGATTGTTTTCATGACTTTCAAACATTGGAGTTTATTGCTGGGTTCACCATATTTCGATATAGGACCCCCCCAAAGAATCAGTAGTCAAGGGGTTTGCATCAAACATCATCAAACATCATCAAACAATAGGGATTGTTTGTATATATACATGGATAAGATGAAGCACAGCTTTTGCAAAGAATCTCCTGCAAACGGGCTGTAACATGGGGCCAGGTTTATTGATTTCCCCTCATGATAAACACTTGCTGGGCCAGTTTGTAGGTGTCGGTCCCGTTTGTGGGGGATTTCTTGTTGGAGGGACAAGATTAGCGGGGAGATCGGCCGGATTTGATCAATTGCGATCCCTGGTTGCGATGATTTACCCGGAGATCCTGGAGTGAGCTCCATTAACCACAGCTAGATTTTTCAAGCACGAACTCGAGCAGGAGTTGTTTGTCCCTTTGGAAACTATTGACCTCCCCTTAGAAGGAGGGGCCAACATTTCACAACAAATCAGAGATCTTGGAAATTTCATGGAAGCGAGGTATTCCTGTTCCTCGGGATTTCCCCTCGTCCCAGCCTCATGTGCTGCAGGGTCGCTTGCAGCGGCACTGCTTGCACTTCGTGCCCAAGTGCAATCCGCGCGAGCCCTTGAGAGACGCACTTCGGCAGCACCAGGGTCAATGGGTCAATGGTGAGCTTGGCAATTGGATGCAACTGGACAACTGGAGGCCCAAATCCAAATCGAGACAGCCATGGAACCGGCAGCAAAAATGCTCAGCTCAGGAGAGGATCAACATCACCTTTCGATGGGTGTCATGGCTGCACTGTTTGGTGAGCCATTGACTTAAATAGTTCAAACAAAACGAGATTGTAACATGTTGATACATATTATAACATATTATAACATATTATAACATATTATAACATATTATAACATATAACATTTGTAACATTCGATATCTATATCATTCTATATCTATACCTATATATATACAACTATTACGCGGATAAACTCGGGAGAAAATGGCGAGATAATGTTTATTTGGACAACTTGTCCCAGGTTCTCCACTTGCGATCAGAATGGATTCTTTATCGAACTTGGGTAAGCCCAAAGTGGGCGCTGCCCTTTGGGATGGTGACCAGCAAAACTAATTCCGATCCATCTGTGTGACATATGATACTCTCTGGTAAACTAACATAGCTATTGAAAACGGTCATTTATAGTGGATCTACCCATTGAACATAGTGATTTTCCATAGTTATGTTAATTTACCAGGGGGTACTGTGTGACAGTCATGTGTGACTTAGCACTCCTGAAATTATTGGTGCTTGGATATCTTGGATGGGAATCCGATATTAATCCGAAACCGACTGCAAGTGGTTGCTGTACAATTTGAGATGCTGTTTTTTTTAAATACCCAAATGCCACACTGAACTCCATCATTTTTTTTAATCATTTTTGCTGGTTAAATCTCCACTGTTGTTGGCCACTCTTTCCACTTCCCCCGATGATCCCAAGGTCAGAGAACATCGATATCGTTGTCCTTTACGTTGGAGGCATGGGCTCAAACTGTTTCTTGTGAAACATCAATGAACCACCCGAGTACCTGTACCCCCTTATAATCATTTATAATCATGAATTGATAGAGTGCATGGGAAAATCCTGATCCATCTTCACCCAAGGGGGATCTGGCGGTAGGCACGCAGAAACCATGGACCGGACCCTGTCACTTGGAAAACTTCAGGGGCTGGACCAGCAAATTCTAAGGGCATGGACATTCCACCATTAAGAACTGCTGGATCCCAGTGTGCATTGTAGATTGCGCTCCGGGACGTTCACATCATTTATAAATATGTAATATAGGATTAGGTATTATATATTATTGTTAGGTATTATATATATATACATATAATACATGTATATATATATGTGTATATGTATATATATATATCTCTCTCTCTCTCTGTCTCTTTGTACGCGATTTTTTTACTAGTCCATCACAGCTGAGCTGTTTTTTTTTAGTTTAACGTCTTGATGTGATTCCTGCAGCAGCCGACCTCAAAGGTCTGCCATCATTGGCACTTTGGACAGCCAGGACCAGGATCGAAGGCCCTGGCGTCAAAAAATCAACCGCAGATGGTTTGAAACGTGCCTCATTTTCCACTTTAGGGTGCTGATTCCGAATCTCTTGTGGGGTGTTGAAATCGTCAATCCCTACCCCAATCATCCCCAATCAGCTGGTTATTTGTTGGAGAATCCATCGAGGGGCCCGCCCATCCTTGATCATCCTTGCATGGATCCAGATCACCGTCAAACGCATTTGGGATGGTGATCTCACCTGACCGATTTTTCTGTATCTGTGGGATGGGTGATCTCACGACACCATCACCATCATCATCATCATCATCATCATTTTCAGAAAGCTCTCGTGAAGCCATTGTTTGCTGGCCATCATTGGACATATTGGTCATCATTGGCCACGTGCCAGGCTGCTTCCATTGAGTTTGCAATTCCATGGGGGTGCCTACGTCCAGAAGCCCAAGGACATTTTAGATGGATCCGGACAATTCATTGACATGGGTTAAACCTGCACAACCCATATGTATATATATATATACAGATAGATAGGATAAGACAAGATAAGATTAGATAGGATTAGATAAGAAAGAAAGAAAACTAGATAGATAGATAGATAGATAGATAGATAGGTAGGTAGGTAGGTAGGTAGATTGATAGATAGGTAGATAGATAGATAGATAAGTAAGATGGATAGATAGATTGGTAGGTAGGTAGGTAGATTGATAGGTAGATAGATAGATAGATAGATAGATAGATAGATAAGTAAGATAGATAGATAAATAGATAGATAACGATATAGATAAATAGATGGATGGATGGATGGATGGATAGATAGATAGATGGATGGATAGATAGATAGATAGATAAGCAAGATAGATAGATAGATAGATAGATATACAGATAGATAATATTGATAAGATTAATAACATATATACTATAGACAAGATAGATGAGATATATGAGATAGACAAGATAGATGAGATAGATAAGATAGATGAGATAGATCAGATAGATCAGATAGATGAGATAGATGAGATAGATAAGATAGATAAGAATAGAATAGAATGGAATGGAATAGAATAGAATGGACTGGGATGGAATAGAATGGAATAGAATGATGTAGAATGATAGATAGATAGATAGATGGATAGATAGATAGATAGATAGATATAGATAGATGGATAGATCGATAGATAGATAGATAGATAGGATAGATAGGATAGATAGGATAGATAGGATAGATAGGATAGATAGGATAGATAGGATAGATAGGATAGATAGGATAGATAGGATAGATAGGATAGATAGGATAGATAGGATAGATAGGATAGATAGGAGGATAGGATGGATAGGATGGATAGGATGGATAGGATGGATAGGATGGATAGGATGGATAGGATGGATAGGATGGATAGGATGGATAGGATGGATAGGATGGATAGGATGGATAGGATGGATAGGATGGATAGGATGGATAGGATGGATAGGATGGATAGGATGGATGGATGGATGGATGGATGGATTGGATGGATTGGATGGATTGGATGGATTGGATGGATTGGATGGATGGATTGGATGGATTGGGTGGATTGGATGGATTGGATGGATTGGATGGATTGGATGGATTGGATGGATTGGATGGATTGGATGGATTGGATGGATTGGATGGATTGGATGGATTGGATGGATTGGATGGATTGGATGGATTGGATGGATTGGATGGATTGGATGGATTGGATGGATGGATGGATGGATGGATGGACAGATAGATAGATAGCTAATATTTTTTTCATCCAGATGATTTATCAATATTTGATAACATTTGTCATACGTGTAATGGAACCAATGAATAGATATAAAGATAATGTGTGTATATATGCATATATATATATATATCCGGCCTTCTTTCATGCAATCCAACAGTTTGCTCACATCATTTGATAGGGTGAGCTCCGGGGGTGGAGCAGGAGTATTCATTCTGCTGGCATGTGCCACTGGAAATACCCACATCATTACATTATCCCACCTCACGTCTTTCTGTGAGACGGCTGCACAGTTCACAACAGTTGGCCAAGGCGAGAGACTGGAGCCAGCAGGTGCTGACAAGTTCAGATGGGCCCAGGATGTCCTTCATTTTTTTCCAAAGTCTCAGAAGTCTGCTAGCAAACATTAAACATCATTAAACATCATTAAACATATATGAGGCACGTGTTTGGGTACGACTGGATGCCTTCCCAAACGTCCCAACCGTTAGGATCTTTGGATCCCGAACCCTTGTTTCGCAACAGCCCTGGGGTTCCTGCAATGCGGGCAGGTTTGTCCCGGCGTCTTGAACCCGGAGCAGCAGCTTCGCCTCTGTGACGGGTGCAAGCACGTTTGGTGCCTCGAGGGTACATCGAGCGGCATGCTCTATGACCTAGGATGACTTGAAACCACCAGTCAAATGGATTGTTGCCCACCTTGATGCCCCCAAATGTAAGGAATCTAGGGTGACTTAATGTGATTTATTTATATATATATATATATGGTGGTTTACATGCAAGATGGGACTGGAAACCTGCACATACCGGCATTCCTTTCCCCCATCCGAATTGCTCAGGTTTGCTACGCAGAAGGTCGGCCCTGTTGCGAAGGAGTGGGCGACTGGGCAGAGCACTGGTTCTGCCGCCGGCCCGTGGGCCCAGGGGCAGAGCCGAAGGATCGCATGTAGAAGATGGGAGGTGAAGCTTGGAACATGAGGAGAGCACCATGAGATATTTATAATGAGATGCCATACGCAAATATAGGCAAAATTTTGGGAATCATTTGGGGGGCTCTACCAAGCAACAATCCACCAAAAGGATCCAAAAGGCACCGCGCCATTGTTTTTTTGTTTGGGAAGACTTGAGCCCCAATAGACCGGCCATGCTGGACTCGGTGCCAGCGTTTTGTGCAAAAAACATGTGCCCATCCTCCAGAGATGAAAGCCTTGAGGTGTTGGTTCCATTGGGAACCGGAAGCGTTCTCCGAACCACCCAGCTTGGAGGCGGCATTGCGTCCCCTACTGGCCCTACTGTACTCGCAGGGTCAGGTGTCCATACCCCCTGCCAGGCCTGGTGTGTCCCGAATTACTCCGAGAATTGGGAGAGGTGGGAGTAGGGGACCCTGGATCAGATTCAGAGTTTCTGTAACTTCATAAATGTATATACAGCGGATGCGGATAGCCATGTTGAGTACACTACATGGGAGACACAACACACACACACTTGCTCAGAAACATCTTATTGAATTACTGATGTGGAATGCATCGCACGTGCACAAACACGTCAATTAAACCTGACAGGAGAAAGTGGATGACTAGGCGTGAGAAACAGTGAAAAAAAATTATTTCTACGTCCTTGCTAGATGCAACTGTTCCATCTGACGAGGTCAGCAGTAATTCAGATTGCGAAAACCGTACAGTGATTAAGATCGAGAAAAATTGGAAACGACATGCCGGTACTTGGCTTAGCCGGTTGCCATTGACGAAAATGGAAATTAGTGCAGGTACGTCCAGCTGGCCAAGCCGGATATCCCATTTCACTGGTAGCTTCGTTGGACACAGTCCCAGTGAAATGCTGTGTCCCCCTGCGTGAAAATTGAAAATAAATCATGAAGAGTCAAACCAAACAAGTAGTGCACCGAAATCAACGGAAAGAAGTTTTACATCTATTCAGATGGCTGCAAAAAAAAAACAAAAACTTATAACCGTACCCTTAGGCCTTTGGGGCATCATGTCGTTGAAATTGTATCCCTCCCAGCACATTCGTCACTGGAACTCTGAGGCCCTTAACAGCCTCATCACACCCCTTTCCACGACCACCCAGTCGCCATTGAGGACGATTGGACCCTACGACACTGGTGCTGGGGACCCTGAATGGCCTGTGGAACTCATGCAAGGAAGAGCTATCAGAGTTGATCGATGTTTCACCTTGAGTTTATGGATATCTACGTTCGAATATATACATATAGAAATATGATAAATATGATAAATATGATTCTATGATGTTTAAAAACATGTATGCGTGTGTGTTGATTTCCAATGATGGCTAGTATATAGTGACACATAATGATTATCATGAATCAATGAATCAATGAACAATGAATCATGATCCCCAGGGTAGGCCATTGTGAATGTTTATGTCGCTGTTGGTCAAAGGCCATCCAGTTCGTGGCAGCACGGAGTTGACCAATTTTCTTGTGTGTAACAGATGGCCTGCAGCCAACTTCCAAACCAATTGGAGGGTAAAACGGTAAAACTATGCGTGGACATGTGATGCATGCGCCTATGTAGTACCCTACAGTGCTGCATGGGTGCTGTATTTAAGCTGAGTGCGGGCCGGTGAATCCTGTAAAACTGCAGTTCCAACGGGGTTCAAGTTACTATTTGTATATTTTTGACCTTTTTCAACCCATCCAAGTACGCCATGATGGGCAATCCCTTCAGCAAATTCAGAACCAATCCATAAACACGGTTCGGTTCGAATAATTATTTAGATTTTTAGACTCTCAGACTTTCAAACCTGTAAACTCACCAGACTAAGACGGATCCCAAAGAACTAGATGAAACCATAAACAATCATAAACATCCATAAGCCGAGAACAACACACTTCCCATGGATTTTGCTCAGCCATCCAAGGTTCTGGAGGCGCTTGAACCCATCATGCAGCCTGAGTCGGAACCGGCAGCTGGTGGTAGGGATGACCTTCCATGAGTTTCCCGGGGATTGTAAGTGGGTAATTGTACCCCAGTTAGTATGGAATATCACCACATATCACCACTTATACGTCATATTCATTTTATATTCTATATTGGTTACTAAGTGGGATGATGTGGGATGCAATCATATATTGATCATATGTTGATCATACATGATGACATGATAGTTCCCAGGGTCTGCCAGGGTGGCCATGTCTAAGGCCCGTTTGGAACATGAGACCAGGCCCGGTCTTGCACTACCTGCAGCTCTTGCAGCTTAGTTGAGTATTGCTCGGAATCATGGCCCACAGGCACAGACCCGAAAAAATTCAGGAAAGAATTGCCAACTCCACTATACTCCACTAAACATAGTTTCACAATGCTCCACATCGAGAATTCCCATCAAAACTGTGGTTCCTTGGGACCTCCTTTTGTGATTCCCCAGTTCAACGGGTCTCCACTTGCTCAGCTTTTGCATTGTGGTGTGGCGCCTGGGAGCAGTTGCAACTTCTCGGCGCGGTGGCCAAGCCAGAACTGACAGACGGGTTATGTCCCAATATCTCACCATTTGCCAACCGTTTTTTGTTGATTTTTTCCAGGGGAAATTGGGGCGCAACTCATCTGGAATTTCGCCGTTCACTGAAGCGGAGGAGGAAAACTCAGTAGTCTTTGGGGAAAAGGCATGGCCTTCCCAACGAGGAGAAATTCAGAATGATGCGCAGCTGCTGAAGCTGGAGACTCCTAGCACCTTGCTAGGACCTCAGGGATGGCTAAAGTCAGGTCTACAAAACAAGAAGCAGCCTGGGCAATTGTGAACTACAGTATTTTGATCTATTTTAGAACTTCTGTTTTTTCTTCTTCCTCCTGGCGGGAAAAGTTTGGACCAGTGTTTTTTTTTCCTCCCGGTTAACGGCAAGGAAATTCAATTGCGCTTCATCCTGGTTCATTAGGGGTTACATGGGATTATATCCTCACTTTTGTTGCTCGGATGCTCGGTATGTTGTTGGCTCGCTGTACATGAATAAGATAAGCTAGATTCACAGCTGGATATATCATGATAGGATAAATAGCATTAGATATTCCTGTTGAGGTATCCCCAGTTTGTGGGCAACATCTCCAGACATCTCCCATATCGTTCTGTGCCAAGGCCTTCAGGGGAAGGCCTCGCCCTCTTCGCTGCCGGGACATATCCTGCTGGGGAGCAAAGATAGAAGTCTTTCCAATGGCGAAAAAAATGGCCTAAGATTGGATCCAAAATCAATCAAAGCCACCTTCCGTGTAGTGAGTGTTTGATTGGAATACTGGTACCTCTTCAGTGGGTTCCTGACATTGTGCCACATTTCCTCGGCAGATGTTTGCCATCAGCAGTTTTGGAGTTTGAATTAAAGCATAAATCCATTTCACAACCTTCGTAAGGACAGCACCCAGTTCTCTGAAATGTAGCTCATGTCAACTCTTGTCAACTCTTGAGCTTTAGGCGCGCGAGTACATTGTTGAGGGAGGCCGCTGGATGATTGCTGTCAACAAAGTCAGGGCCTCATGGGCAGGAATCTCCACAGGATTCCCCTCGGGGATGGCTTGATGGTTCCCAAATGTTCCCACCGATATTCCACCATCATGCACCACGTCCATGTGTTCGAGGATTTTCTTTGTCCCCCCCCTCCGTGGCCAGTGTGGGGTAGAAGTAGGCTGACTGTGCCGAACTGCCCGACAGGAGGGTCTCGACGAGGCGTGCTGGGGCTTGAAGCATGGCAGCATCGCAGCTTTTGCGCGCGTGGCATGCGGCGTAATGAATTTGCTGCTTCAAATTTGTTGCCAACTTTCCCTACTTGGGTTCTACCCACAAATGGTAGCATGCAAGTGGACACACACGCACACACAACATCAAATAACTAGTTAATATGTTATGTATTTGTATATGTGTATGTAAATGTGTATGTGTACAAAACAAGACACATATTTTGGGCATTTAAGACCATTTAAGCCCCCGTGGATGTTTGATGTTTGAGGCTCATGAGGCTCCAGGTTTTGATTTCAGGTTCATCCACCAGAAATCGCCGATGTGCCAGGTCTGGCTGGCCTCAAGCTCAGGGCTGTGAGGAATGTCAGTTTATGTCATTTTGGCTCACAAGGCTTGAAGGCCCCCCCAAAAATTCTGGAAGTTGGGATTTGGGTCGACCATGGAGATTCCTTTAAGGCCATGTGTCAAGGCCTTCTGCAAGGCCTCTTCGATGGCCAAGCCGGGGCTTGCGGTGCCGGGCCTTGGACATCCATGAAAAATCCTCTCTATTTTCCATCATGTTCCATCCTAGCATTATTATCTGGTTGGTGGCGGTGGTTTGGTTTTTTTTTATTTTCCCCAAAATGTTGGGATGGTGGATGTTGGTGGTTTGTTTTTTTTTTATTTTCCCCAACCAGATTGGGATGATGATCCAATCTGACTAATTAATATTTTTCAGGGTTGAAACCACCAACCAGTTATCATTATTGATCCCAAGTGATGCTGATTATATGATATTATATGCCCTCTGGTAATCAAACATGGCAATGGACAATCCTCCGTTTATAGATGATTTACTGTACCCATTAAGACCTTCATTTACAGGACATGTGCAATCGCCACGTTTGGTGGTGCCAAGGTATTGCCGCTACGTTGTTGGATGGCTCAGCCTTTCAAAGCCGCTGGTTTCGGGAGTTTGGCCAAAACAGGACCTGAATGATCTGAATGTAGCAACTTTATACTTCCTGATATCTTCCTCATCAGGTCCTGATCTTCAAGAGTCCAAGAATCATAAGAATCCCGATCTGGTGTTTTCATTTTTTTTTCAAACATGTCTATTGAATTCTCTATTGATATTCTATATTCAACCAGGTTTGGGATGATCCCCAATCCCCAATGGGTGGCTCTTCAGCACCAGTGGGGCATCATCCCAAGCGAATCAAGGGATGCCATTTTTGGATCACTGCCACGTCACATCTCCAAATGGCCCTCGATTTCAGCTACTTTAGGGGTGCTATTTCTAAATACAGTTCAGCCAGATTGCTTGATCAATATCTGGAGATCAATTATATTATATTATATTCACTTATTCTTGATCCATATCTCTGGGATGTAGTTACAGATACAAGTTACAGATATAGGTTACAGATGGTTACCCTCTGGTAATTTAACATAGCTATTGAAAATGGCCATAGAAATAGTGAGTGTTCCCATTAATAGCATGGTGGATCTTTCCAGTTCGCTATGTTAGTTTACCAGAGGGTACACTGGACATGTCACCCATCAGCCACCAGGTCCACCAGGTCCCCGTGCCGGGACGGCAAGTTGGCCGTGTGGCTGCTGAAAGCCCAGGAGATCCTCATCGTTGGAGGATGGTGATATGTTATAGGTAAGTTAAATATAACATTATGTAAGAAATATATATATATATATTATAGGTAAGTTATATATGTTGTAGTAAATATATATATATAGATATAAATATAATGTTCTATAATATACCGTATATATATATGTACAATAATATGATTGAGATCATTACACTATCTGATAATTTAAGATAGCTATGGAAAACACACACACACATGTTGTTTTTATACTTTTGATAGCTAACTCATTTATACAGTCACTTTCCATAGCAAACCCTTGGATCACCAGTGAGTAAGCCCTCCGCTTGGCGCAGGATGATCTGCACGTCCTGGCTGTTGGGAGTGTCTTCATGGACTTGCTGCGGGCGAAGGCTGGGTGGCTTTTAAGGTGTGGTCAAGAGTAGGTTCCTGGGCCGACTCGTTCGTCAGCAAAGCACAAATGCTGGGTGTGCAAGATTAGTATCTAGGTTTTAGATGGTTTTGCATGGTTTTACCACCAAGTCTGACGATGTTTGTTGATGTCTGATTGGGATTTGCTGTAGATGCACTGTGGGGATCTTGGTTGGCTGACTGGCTAGATCCGATCCAGAAGGGGCATTAGATTTTGGAAAGACAAGCACCTTAGGTGCAAAACTTTCCTCTTTCCAAGAAGGAGCTTCAGCACCGAGCCCTTCATCATTGTTCCGATTTTCAGCTCCATGACGGAGCGTTTATTTTATCAGCATTTTTTTTGTCTTTTGCTCCAATTTTGCGGGTTATCACTTTCTAGCTCTAGGGCAAACCGTTGGAAACCCCGGCAAAAAAAAAACAAGCACCTTGACATCTTCAACAATTGACTTGGGGCCCCACAAATCCACATCTTTGGACATGCCCTCTGGTAATCTGATGGAAAATTCATGAAAATTCCCTATAAACAGAGGTTTTAATGGGAAAGTCATCTATAAATGATGGATTTATATATATATATATATGGATTTCAAGTGCCACGTTTGACAAGTTTGATGACTGGAGGCGCAATAGCAGATAGCAGGACCCCAGTAGCTGTGTCAAAGCTCCTTGGGTCACTGGTGATTCGGTGATTCATCTACCAAATACGGATGAACCACCAGCCATTTACCATCATTTACCATATGAATCCATATATATATATATATCCATATGTGTAACTGGTGTGACCCAGTTCACTGGTAGCCCAAGACCTGATCACCTCCTTGGCCTCAAGGAAAATTCCCAATGTATGATTCCTATCACACAGTTCCAAAAGATTTTTCCAGAGATAATAAACTGCTAACCGTTGCAACAACCTGAAAAAGAGGTTTCCCAAGCACTCACCAAATGGCGTCCCCGCCGCCAACTATTTTGCCTGCTCGCCTAGGGGCCCTTGAGCCACCGGTACGAAAGTTGAAGGACATGGTGCAAGTGGTCATGTCAGAACCCTCATGGAAATGGACAATCGAAGGAAGGGACATCGGCACTGGAAAATTCACACTGGCCTATCTTTAAAGTTTCGATTGTTATCCCCATTATTCCCCATTTTATCATTAACCCAGGTTACCCCATATTTGCGAGTGGCATTTTGCTTGAGAGTGAGGTCTTCGTCGTATATTCTAAATTTTCCAAGTTGTAGCACTGTTCGAAGGAAAGTTGCGTCCATCGGCTTGGTCAAACAATCCGCTAACATGATGGCCGTGGAGACCCATCTACAAATGGTGTGTTCTTTTGACTGCTCCTTTAAAAGCATTACTTCGATCGTGGTTCGCCATTCCTGGCAATTTGGAACAGCATTCTTTGTGATCAAGTCATACAAGGATTTGCAGTCGGTGATCATTAAACCCTTATGTTCGTTTTTCAAAGAAGTTTCAGGCCTGTACCACTGAAAATCTGAATTTTTGATGAAACCCCAAAGACACCGAATCCATGTTAGTTTATCAAGTGAACTGGACATTGAGTAAGCTTCTGCACTAAGGGTAGATCTTACCACTCGGCCTATTTGTTTCGAATGCCACACAATTGGTGAAAACTCTGTGGTTTCGTTCACAGCTAGTTTGGGGGAACATGCCATGATAAAAAGGCCCTGCTGCGCACTTAGTTGCTTGGCAGATGCAAAGCTAGCATCTCCAAAACTGGCAAAACACACAGTTTCCATTGGTAGAGGTCTCACAGTTACCGATGTGTCAGCGAACTGCTGAGCTTCCTTCAAGACACGATTACCCTCGAGGAGAGTTTCGACTGTTGCGGCAGTTATCCCCTTTTGAAGATTGGCCACTTTGGTAGCTATGTCAGGACGTGAGTGCACGGCTGCATACTGTAAACTGCCACATAGTCCTCTGAGTTGGGTCAGCTCATGTGCAGTTATGGGACTCTGATTCTCTTGCCTACGTGGCTTGGGAATATTAATAGGCTGGATTTTATGGATATATCGACCTTGGTTTACTTTGATGGAGAAGTCTGGGAGTTGTTCGACATCCAAACCAGTAAATTTAAATTTACCATATTCTCGGCTTCCAAATGGCAAATTTTTCTGAAGTTTCTCCAGCGCCTTTTCGAAGTTATGATTGCCTCCACCGATGCCGTCATCGACATGAGTTCCAAGTATCCCATCCAAACTTTTGGGGCCATTGGGGTTCCTTAGTAAAAAGAGGCAATTGTCTAGGGGATGTGCACTAAACCCAACTTCTTCAAGTTGTTTTCGAAATTCTCGATAGAACAAGAGTGGTGCATCAACTCGGCCGTAAGCATTTCCCTGTAACAAGCATACTTGAGATGAATCCATGTTTAATAAAGACCGTAAGTCTGGGGGGGCTTCCATAGCGAGTTCTCGATTATCAGACTACCCCTCAAGAAAGCAGTAGTTATATCAAACGATTGGATCACCCAGTTTTTGCTGGAAACGGTTTGAAGAAGCAACATTCGAGCATCTCTTGTCAAGGTAGGAGAATCTGAACATAAGACTCCAATGTCAGGATCTTGAAATCCCTTGACAACTAGCCTTGCTTTTGCCTTTTTGCCATTCGGGGCGTTTGGGTCTTCTTTCCAAGTCAATATCCATCGTGATGCCATGATTCGGGAAGGATGTATCTTATCCCTCATGATAGCTTTGACAGTATTGGTATCAAGCCAACAATGAAGTTCCTTTTGTTTCGCCTTTTGGAATAAAACTTTTTCTTCAGGTGACAAGTTACTGTAACAAATTTCATTTCGGGATTTGTTTGCCGCAGCAACAAGGCAATCCAAGTATTCCCCAGGCTTTTGCAGGAAACGTCTGAACTGTTGGTCTTGGATGTCAAATTCAAATGAGGCGCAAGCTGCTGAATGCTGATCCGGATCTCTCCAGTGCGTCTCCTGATCTTCGATGATGATGTCGTTTTGGCAACAGTTTTCCTGCAGGATTGCATTGTACACAGGTTCCATATCAGGATCTGTAATAGTTTCAGATTGATCCGTTTCGGCAGAAACTGTATCAGAAGCTTGATCCTCTCCTTCCATGCTAGGGCCGACGGATGGCGTCGGTATTGGGGACTCCGGCACTGGAGTCTCTTGAGCTTCTCTAAGTCTTTCCTCTGTTTCTTGGAGGTCCGTAGAGATACGACGGATGGGTTCTTCTTCAGGCTGTGGCCTAGATACTGGAGTGTTATCTTCATGGTCTATGGGAGGATTCTCATTAACACTTAAGTCGCTTAGGTCAGCATATTGAAAAAGGCCGCTGCGTTCTCTTAGTTGGCTTTGTAACTTTTGAGCCATTTGTTGGAGTTGTTCCGGTGACGTTGTTTGAACAAATGTGGAATGACGTTGGAATTCTCTAAGAGACACCGGACGAAGATTCTCCCTAGCGCATCTCAAAAGTCGATTCAAATGTGAAATCCAGACAATCGTTCGAGACTCGGAACAGACAACTTGAGCCGGACCGTTCCATCGTCCCTTCTCAAGCATATTGGCTGATTTTCTTTTGTCCCAATACATGCATAATTGACCGCATGACCAACTATGGGCTACACCTCTGGATTGATGATTCATTGCTCTTCGAATGGCTGCACTGTTGTCTGCCTGTGAGAAAGCTGCTCGGGCCGAGGCACGCAATTCCAGCTTCTGTCTGAAAAGATCGGAGGCTAAGTCCTTTCCATCACATGCCATATGTGCGGTCAGATCTTCGTCTGACACAACTGAGGCTGGTAATTTGGAGGCTTTTCCTAAGACAGCTTGTTCTGGACTATAACCCTCATGCACCGACATGGTATTTTTCGCATGAAAACATTGGAAAAGAGCATCAAAATGGTTGAGATCATTGATAGGTTTTTCTTGGTCCATTCGATTCAGCATCTCTTTGATTACCCCTCCATGTCTTTCAATACGGCCTCTTTGCCATGGTGCCGATGAGAGGATTGGAGTAATCCCATTTTCCTGCAGGAACAGCTTCCATTCATCCGTGACAAATTCTCCACCTTGGTCATGTGCTATTTGATTTGGTGTCCCCGCCCATTGCAACCACATATCCTTAACTCCTTTGGTAAGCAACTGACTATCCCTTTGAGTCCTACGACCAAGATGAAATCGGGTTGCATCGTCAAGAATGTGAAGGACATAGGTGGTAAGTCCACTTTTAGATTTCCATTCAAAACCGTCTATGGATATCTTTTCATTAAATTCCTTGGGATCCTTCAGGTTACCTGGCATGGATTTGTGGGGACTTGTTAGTTCAGCACATGATTCACACTGGAAGTCTTTGGCACCTTCTATCAGCTGGGGCAAGGCGTGCATTTCGGTCAGGTGTCGGGCAAGTCGAGCTGCTGTTGGGTGTCCTAAGTTCCTATGAAGTTTTCTGATGATTCCTTTATCTTTATCGGACAGTGCCAAGAATTTGGGTCCCGACACAGTGGCCGACATGGGAGTCCACGGTGGGACATCTACTCGGCAGGGCGTCACAACCGCTTGGTTTCGGTCAGGCTGATTGGAAGAGACATTCTCGCTTGCGGGCATGGGCACGTCAGATTCTTCGATCTGATCATGACTACTTTCCGGAGCAACTTCACGAGGACGTTCGGAAAACAGGCACAGCATGATGTGACTGGGTTTGGCTTTACGGTGTTGTTGCATTTTGGAAAGATTGGACCAGTTCTCAAGTCCCAAGTCCTCGATCTGACGGGCAGTCCGGTGCAAGACAATGGTATGTCTCATCGGGAACTCTTGGCTCCAAACAGTCTCACCTAGTATATACCGTTCTAGGCCCTTCCCTGCTTTGATGACTCCAATTCTTTCTTGTGGCACTATTGCTTGGATTTCTTTGAAAACTTCATGAAACGGATTGGTCCAAGTTTGAATTCCTGATTTTGGCAAGCAGTTTCGTAGTTTCACAAAAACTTCATCCCAAGGGTTAGTTGGATTTTCCGGGGGATTATCTATTCTAGCCCTCTTTGCAGGTGGTTCATCTTCATGTACGGTATATATGGGTACTGGAATGGGTCCCTCTTTGGTTCGCAACAAACCCTTGACGATCACCTTGGCAAATGTTCTGGGATACATTCCGGCAAAACTGGAAACTTGAACAACATGACCCTTGTGATTGCCTCTGCCAGCAATGTGGGCATGTTGATGTGTGTGGTCACATATGCGATTATCCAGGGTTTCCCACATGGTTCGTGATGAAGTCTGGACTCGGGTTTTCTTTTCCATTGGATCCTGGCTATTCGGGTGCTTGAGACCTAGCATGCACTGATCGAGTCGTGCGGGCAAGGAGACTTGCAAGAACTCTTCCAATGCTCTTTGCTTCCATAGACCGGACGTCCATGGGTTCTCAATATGAATATGTCTATCTTCAGCAAGTTGAATCTTGGCGATCAAGTTGCAAAGCTTGATATGCACTTGGGAGTTTTCCTGTTCTTGACAAACTCGGTGGAACCCAGAGACACTTCGTTGAGCATTGAAACGATTCCATGCACTCCAAGGTTTGCAATCCGGTGCTAGCCACACATGCTTGGGTCGGAACAGCAGGATTTCCGTCAGAAGTTTTACCCTACCTGAGGTAGTGCTTAGATCCCCATCTTCTCTGGTAAAACGTTTGGCACGTAACCCACATGCTATTGCAGTGTCCGTGAGGTTACTATTGGGATATGCATAAACTTCTAACAGGTCCAGTTGCTTACATTGATTATTTCCCTTTTGAATCAACTTATAAACTTCTTTCATCCATTGAACTTCTTCATGGTCTGTTATGGGAAATTCTGACTTCATCGACCGGCGGAATCGTGGAGATTCTCCTGGAAGAGTTTGCCATACGCTCAGTTCACAATCTGTTGACGAGCAACTTCTTCGAGACGACATCGGGTGATGCAGTAATTGGCGAAGTCCTCCATGACCTCGTTGAGGGAATCGACGCGAGCAAGGATCCATTTCACATAGCTTGGATCCTGTTCGTAGGTCGCGACATACGAATCCCCTTTGCACTTCTTTCCCCATGTGATGACTTTTTGTCCCCAAGTGTCCAGAGCGGCTTGAGTCAGCGACACTTGATGAACATTGTTGTCGGGGATCACACGAGGAGCTGCTCGAGCTGTCGGTGGTGCAGCTGAGATCTGATACTGGTTTCCAGGCAAATTGATTCCAGCAACTTTCATGCTCTTCTTCCCACCACATGTCTGAGGTCCCAAAACTGTTGGCATGGAAGTACTTGGGGCCGGTGCAGCTTGGCTGGGTCCTGGTACTTCGAAGCTTGGGATCATGTGAGTGTTTTCCATTTCGATGGCCTCCCAGATGTCGGACGGTGGTCCACTGGTGGAGTGGCTTGGGCTGATCGGCTGGTTCTTCATTTGGGTCTGCTGTACAATCAGCTGGCCCAGCTCGGTGATCTTCTCCCTCTGGTTCTTGACTTCCATCACCAGCTGATGAATCGGCAGCATCTCTTGCTCCGAAACCACTTCCTCCGGAGACACTGCCTTCGTCATGGTGAACAGCATTGTGAAGAGCACTCGAAGGCTCTCCAAGATCTCTTCCGCCAAAACGCGGAATCCCTCCAGAATCTCCTGTCGGCTCGGCATGGTGCTTGGCGTCAGGGAGACACAAACCTGGTGGTGGCTGCAACTGCGATAGACTTGATATCACGTGAACGGCTTCGAGTTCTGGCTGACTGGACTGACATAGATCGGCAACGTCAATAACAAACAAACCATTTGCATTCTCACGAAGTGGCAGTGACCTTTGTATTGTTTGCAAAAAAACAAGACTCATGTACCAAATCAATAACAGCACCCAAACTCTTCATAGCTTTGATTGATAACAAAAGGGGAGTTGCTTTGGGAACAACTTCAATCAATAACCAGATACGCAACTTTCCATGAACCAACGGTATTTGCAACTGTTTGAAACTGTAGGCAATTTGGTTGTTGCCGAACCGGAATCCGATCTTGCTGGGCTTTTCACGGACAAGTTTCCTCACATTGGCTGGCAATTTTTGCAAGACAGCAGGCACGTTGTCAGCTCCTATCACGGAACGGCTAGCTCCTGTGTCTAGGATTGCCAATCCATTCTGTACGTTCATTCGGCATGAAACTTCGTTGATTTGTTCTTCAGGGACTTTCGGACTGGGATTGTTCTTCGGCAAGCACGGTGAAGCTCTCAGCATTGGGCTCTTCCTGTCAAGGGCAGCAGTGGTGTCTCTTGCTGGCTCTAAAACGGGCTGTAACAGAACTGTGTATGCCTTATTTATCCCATTCTTATTCCTATCCCCTTTATCCCCATGGTTATTACTTGACTTTTTCCAGTGCCGTGACAACCGATGGGACAAAAACTCGGATGCTTGCTTACGGATGCAGGGTGCGATGACATATGGGAACGGATGCTGGGTTTTGTCCACGCTATGTACAACGAAACATGTCTCTACTGGAAAAACTTGGGCCTCGTCGGACAACTCAAAGCGAACCTGCAAGAAGTTAGGATCGTCTCCTCCTTCAACTTGTGCTAGGTTGGCTTGTTCTCGAGCTTGATCTCGACGCGGACACTCTGCTTTCCAGTGCCCCATGGCACCGCAAATCTTGCAGTGTGTGCGCGCTATGCGCGCCAGAAGCTCGTCCTTGCTGCTTCGTTGGCCACCTTTTCTGAACCCTTTGTTGGCATCACGTCCACCTTTCCCACGGCCTTTAGAGGGCCAAAAGCCTCGGTGGCGACGGCGTTCGCTAATGCGCTGCCGTGCCTCCTGATAGCTCAAAAGAGCTGTTTGTAGGTCCGGGATGTCCTGCATCATGTCTTCGAAGTCCTTCTCGAACTGCTGGATGAGTAGAGCATCTTCGTCTCCACCATGAGCCAGGGAGTCCAAGGTCTCTGCACTAAGAGCATCGTCATCTTCGATCTGAGTGTAGTATGCATAGTTCACAGTGGTCTCATCTTCCACTGAGGGATTTACATTCTCGGTTTCCACAAAATTCGTGGGGTAGATCTTCTTCTTCGGCTCTGTTGAAAGGACTGATGTTGCCAGAGTGCGCATGGATTGTTCCACCTTGGCAGTTTCCATCGTCCCTCCTGTCATTGTGAGCACACGTTTCTTGTCCTCCACAGTCAACGCACTCTGACGGATGAGCAAGAATGCATGAAATTCCTGCACTGTCACCTCACCCAGCTCGTCCATGGCCACTTGGAGTCTATTGACAAAACTGGTTGTTGACTCGTCAGCTTTCTGCGTAGTCTTGTAGATGGCTTTTTCAAAAACTTCATACGTTTTCATTTCTGCAGATTCTTCCCAACTCGAAAGAGCTGCTAGCAAATTTCTCACTCCATTGGTTTTGTCCGTCAACTTCTCAGGGCTAATTGCTTTCACTTGACCCCATGCAGTTCCCTTACACAGCATAGCTAATCTCGGGGCTAACATACCCTTGTCACGGTCTGGGCAAATGGCCGCTAAGAATTTGACTTTTTCCACATATTCTCGCACATTGTCCTGTGCTGGATCAAAACTGGGTAGCAATGACCAGAAGCCTTGGCCACGATCTTCTCCACCACTGCTACTGGACATTCCTGGATCCCTTCGGCTTTGCGCTGAAAGAAAAAAGGCAGCGAGCCCTTAGGCTCCGCTACCAGTGTAACTGGTGTGACCCAGTTCACTGGTAGCCCAAGACCTGATCACCTCCTTGGCCTCAAGGAAAATTCCCAATGTATGATTCCTATCACACAGTTCCAAAAGATTCTTCCAGAGATAATAAACTGCTAACCGTTGCAACAACCTGAAAAAGAGGTTTCCCAAGCACTCACCAAATGGCATCCCCGCCGCCAACTATTTTGCCTGCTCGCCTAGGGGCCCTTGAGCCACCGGTACGAAAGTTGAAGGACATGGTGCAAGTGGTCATGTCAGAACCCTCATGGAAATGGACAAACGAAGGAAGGGACATCGGCACTGGAAAATTCACACATATGATGGTAAATATCCATTTATTTACCATATTTAATTATTTACCATATGACATTCATGATGATTTCTGATGGTAAACTCCATCATTCCACTGGCGTTCGATCTATGGGCCATTTCAACGCCAGGGCTTTGTTGGGCGATTGAAGTTCGAGAATTTCCAGCGGGGCAAAGTCACGTTGGGGGAACCGAGGGCCATAGATTGACGCGGCAAAAAACCCAAAAAAGCGGCTGGAAACCGCATGTTGCAAAGATTCAAGTGCTCAGGGTCTGGTTTCTGTCTATTCATTCCTCACATTTTTTTTTTCATCCAATTTTCCGAAGCGAAGACCATTGAGGCTTTCTCTCCGTCCGTGATCCTCAACGTAGGCTGGTTACTGAGATACTAATGTCTGGCATGGACATGGATGGACAATGATGGACATGTTTCATGACAAGCCTTATGCCAAGTCCAGATTTTTTGAAGGATCCTGGAGAAAGTGGGGCAGATGAACAGTTTTTTCTTTTATTATCATAGAACACATGATCAACAATGGCACATGTGCCATACTGCTCTAACACAAAAATCTCTGAGAAAAAACATGTGGACCTTGGGGTCTTAGATTTTTGATTAGCAGTTATCCCCGCAGCTAGCCTTTGAGAACATCCCCACCAAGGCTATTCATATATCATATATCTAGAAGCGCATGGAAGATCCATGGGGTTGTGGCTCATGCACCGTCAACATATGAAAACATTTCCAATCAGATGCGAGCGTGTGAAATATGTGTATATAACTGTATATATATATAATACATTATTATACAATAGTAATTAGTATACACAGAATATGAAACTATATGCTCAAATGTACTTTTTGTATTTGTATGCAATAAATCTGAATTGTATAACGTGCATTTGCATTGGCATGAGCATATATTATGTGTATATTCCATGTGTGTGCATTATGCATGACGCACACATCCAGCCGACAGGTGCGCCTGGTTAAGGTGCTCCACAACATGTCACCACAGCGATGTGGCACCCCAAGGGCCCGGCTGTGTCGCGTCAAAAGTGGCGGCCACACCCTCGTTTTGGTTGTTTGTTGGAGCGTGCATACACATGCACACAGAACGTCACACAACCACTGTCTCTCAATGGTGGTCGTGTTTACTAGCAGAAAGCCTCGAATGGTCAGTGTCAAGACGTATGACGTTCTTCATGAATTGGAAAGGCAGAAGGACTCAGGAGGAAGCTGAGATGAAAGGATGTTTCTAGGCATCCTCGTCGCCTTGCGAAGGAAATCGAAGGAAGGGGTTATAAGGGGTTGAAAAGGTGGGAATGACTGGATGGAAAAGCTCACTCTGTTTGTCCTATTTGTTTAGGGAACATACAACATCTCTGAAGGCTTTTGCCGGGGACGAATCTTATCAAATCTATTCAAGTATGAAGAAGAATGGCAAAAAAAACATCCCGCCGGGTCGGAAATGGAACGTGGCGGTGAGTGGATTTTGCAATTTCATATTTTTTGTGCAAACCATGGTATTTACAAGATATTTACAGTGCTTTCTGATGTATGAATCATCCAAAACGTGCGTAATTCCAGTACGTTTCAGGATTTCTGTGTTTTTCCCTCAGCGAAACGACAATTCCATCATTTGGAGCCCTCGAAAAATTAACCGTGTTTTAAGGAATTTTGCATTTTCCCACACGTTTTGACAAATCAAACGCGCGCTGTCGCATCTTGTCTCCTTTCTCCATTTTGTCATGCTTCAGACAGTTCGTCAATTTGAGTCCTCTGCGCGTGTAAATCTCCGGTGAAGAAGTGTGTGTGGAAGTGCAAGAGAACGGAGAGTATCGGGACGTGTGTGTGTGGAAGTGCACGGGAACGCACAGTAGCATGACGTCTGTGCGGAAGTGCGAGAGAACGTACATGAGCGTAGCGTGACGTCTGTGTGGAAGTGCAAGAGAACGTACAGGAGCGTAGCATGACATCTGTGTGGAAGTGCGAGAGAACGTACAGGAGCGTATCGTGACGTGTGTGTGGAAGTGCAAGAGAACGTACAGCAGCGTGGCACGACGTGTGTGCGCGTGTGGAAATGCAAATGAATGTTGTCAGCCCTGCCCACCACCCCCCACAAACAGCCATTGACACAGAAGTGCCCACAGATTCTTGCCGATTTGAGTTTGTGTCATTTTCAGATGCTTCCATTTTTCCAGCTTCAAAGTTTTAGATTTGTTTAGACTTCGTCGCAATGGCTGTGGCAAAGAACCAGCTGGATGTGCCGTTGGAAGGCGCAGACGATACACTTCCCCACCACCGAGAAGACCCTGAGACCCTTCGGAGAGTATCAAAGGGTGAGGAAACACTACTCTCCCAGGCAATCCACAGTCGCAGGATATCAGCTGAGGGACGCCGGGCTCGCTTGAAAACACAAAGTGCATATGTCATCCAAGCGGATCAACGAAGAAGCCTCGAAGCTGTCCTTACCTTCAAAGGAAAGGAAACCGATGAGGCAGTCCTTTCAGAAAACACTGAGTCGTTTGGAACTGCAGTACACAAATCTGGAGCTGTTGCCAGAAGACTTAGATGCAGAAAGAGGATCAGGAAAGTGGTTGGTTTTGTCCTGGCAGTTTAGGTGGCTGGTCTTTGGTGTGATATTTTTGAACATGGTCATAATCTCTGTAGTGGAAAGAATGTGGGAATATGACGAGATTTCCAATGTGACCCTGATGGTTGAATGGGTGGCTTTGGCATGCTTTGGCATCCTACATGGTCGAGTTGGGGCTTCGGCTTTATGCTGGTCAAGGTAGAACTCGTTTTTGGTGCATTTTCCTGGACTTTGTTCTAGTCATCGTCGGCATTTTGGCGCTGTTCATACCCACTGTTTTGTGTTTCTCCCATGTATGCACGCACCTTCAGAGCTACATGCTGACTGTGTGGTTGCTTCGTTTGCTGAAGCTGGTGCGAATATCCAAAGATGAGCGAAAGTTCCACCCTATGTCCCTATGTGGGTTCTTTTTGATGGGATTTGCCATGCATTTCCCACTATTCTGGCAAGTACGATCTTTGTCGTGATTGTCATAGCGATATTTGCCGGTCTGCTTATCTCCCTGCTTCATGAAGATCAGGGCATTATGACGGACCCTGTGCTGGCAGAATTGGCCCTGCTCTCACTGGTACAGTTTTTGTCGGGCGATGGCTTAGCGGATATGTACTATACGCTGATGTTGGCCAGGCCTGAGTTGTCCTTGATTTTCATACCTTTGTGTGTCCTTGTCACTATCGGGCTCATGAATTTGGTGCCCGCAATCCTCTTCGAGAACCAGGCAAGAGAAAAAGAGTATAAACAAATTATTGGGCAGCAGAGGTTCCAGAAAGAGAAGGTTTTCACAGCAGATGGAGTCACTGAAGTCAGCAACGGCTGGCTTTCAACAGCCGATTTCGCAGAGAAATTCGGAGCTTTCAAACTGGATGAGCTGTTCGCAGTCTTGGTGAGAAAACTATGTCCGGGTGACCCTGATCCAATATTGCCTGTAGATGAATTCCTTGAGGCAGTGATGGAGCTCTTGATCTTAGAGGTGCCTCTGTCCACAATGGAGACCTTAACAGCGTGGACTGCATCTTGCAATTGCTCAACATATTGTTTTGCATGTTTTTCTTTGTTGATAAATCTATCAATCCACTATTGAAGGGGCATCTATTACGCTACAATATGGTAAATTTATGGAATTTTATGGAAACTTAGTTTTCCATATGTTTTCCATATTTTTCCCCTTCGCCAATCCAAGGTATTGAAGAGCGCTTGGCTCACACAGGAGTCCCAGGAATCCATGGAGAAGCAGGAGGACTCGATGCACATCCAGCAGTTGATGGGCATGGCGCCATTTCGCAAGAAAAACCGTCGGATTTTCGTGGGATGTATAGTGATGTCGTATGGGGATATTTGTTCAATCGTCCCTTCCACGTAACGGTTCTCAATACAACGTTAGTTGGCAGTCGTGCGACCAATCCTTCCGAAACGTCTGAAAACATGCCGCGGAGTATGAACGAAACCACTGAGCATGCAGTTTGCTGGTAATTCCTGAGAGATTTGTGTTTTAATTTTTACATTTAATGTTTAATCCTTATTGCCTTTGCCAAGCAACCCTCTGACCAGCAGTTTCTTACTACCTTCGCAGCTGATTGCAGATCATCAACAAAATTTACTGTAGTGATCTTATAAATATAATATATGGTGTATGTTCCTTGTGGTCCCCATCAGTTTGTGACATTTGAACAGGGCTTGTAGATTGCCCTTACATGTGGATCCGGTCACCGGTTATGCCTCTGCTGGGCCCATAGCTGCGTAGCAATCGCTGTTCGGATGCTGGGACAGTCGAACGTGCTCGGAGAACGTGAAACTGTACGGATATGTACAACTCCAAGGTATCAAGAACATAGCATCAAAGCATATCAAAGCATCAATGACATGCTGACAACCTGGCTACCATCGAAATGAGCAGGCCTTTGATAGAATACATCTCCCTCACAACAGCCGTTTTTGCCCTCCTTTCTGTTTTTTGAAACCAAAGTGTTTGGCCAGTTCGGGATGCCATGAGGGTTCTGCGGGAACTGTCGAGGTGGGTCATGTGGGGGTTGGACTGAGCACGGGTGAACATGCAAGGAGTACCGAAGAATGCAAACAACGTTTCAATTTTTTTCTGGATGCCAACCAACCAGTGACAGCGTGTGTATCATTTTGAGATCTTAGCGTTGCTCATGCCTGTTTGAGTTTGGAAGGGTTTTCATTTCGGCATTATATATTTTTTGTCCACGACCACGACCGACGGAATCTGTGAGCAAACGATGAATTTCCTCCTACTAGTACCACTGTTTTCTAGGCTCGTCACCTGTCACTGCTGCATAGGATGTTTTATATATGTGATGGCTCGTGAGTGCTTGACTCAGAATGTCAGTGGACAATTTCCCCGAACAACGTAGTTTGATGTGGTACACCCACGGAGGTTTTAAGAATTGACACCTAAGTAAGTGTTTTCTTTCGTTTACCTTGGCTTCTCCTTGAACCCACGAACAGTCACTGTTTTCGGCTTTGCTACTCATGAGCTGCTCATGAGCTCGCATCTCAGGAGGGGCATATTTTGTAGTTAGAAGTGGGGTATTCCCAAAATTGGCCATTTTGATGGGATTTAGGGACACCCATGGATTAAGACAGACCCATAACAGTCACAACCAGCCGACACTGTTCAAAGTGCTCTCCGGCCATCGGCCAGCATTTCCGGGATGATCTTCCCATTTCTTTGTAGGCCTATTCTTGATGGTGAACACCAAATTGCTTGATGCGGATCTAGATTTCCACATCGTTGCGGATGATATATGATATTAATTACATGATATTAAACCATAGTATCATGATGATATATGATGATATATGATGACATATGATATATGATGATATATATTTAAACCATAGTATCCGCCTGTAAAATGTGGTAAACACTGTGCTCATGAAAAATGCTCCCAGGGTCCCAGAAATGGTTGAAGGGAAATCTGCAGCATACCGCATACCCCTGTTCTTACTGTCGGGGCTTCCGGATACTTTTGATGTTTCATGATTTTTCCCAACCAAACCATGCCAAAATAAAACCCCTTGAAATACGGTGTTCTCGAATGTATGTGCACTAAATTCTGATAATATCCATGATATCTTTATTTTTAGTGAGTGGTTGAAAACTTAAAGCCTCATACAATACCATGAAGCCGGTGGATCAAAATCTTCAAAGCTGCCAGGTGATGGGCAAATCCAAGGCTGCCAAAGTTGCAGCTTTTGTGGTCCATGCCTTAGCCATGCAAGGTTCGCATAGTTGCATGGTGCAGAGATGGCAAATATCGTTCATCCCCATTTTATAGCCCCAATTTTCCTATAAAGAAGGGGGCAAAGGTCCCTAGGTTGCACTAAGGGAGGACGTTACATCTATATACTGTTTCATGTCTTATGGATATTGCCTCAACTGTATATAGAGTGTGAGGTACTTGATTCTTAGACCTGGTCTGCGAAATTTGCATCATTTTGCTGTATCGTGATGCAGCCTTGCCGTGTGCAGAGGAATTAGATCCCAAGAAGGTCTTAAAGATGGAGTTGGGAAGCTCAGAGAAGCTTAGTGACAGCTGCGGAAGTCATGGAACAAATTGGGATGGGATAACATTGCGATCCTTGAAAGATGTCTAAAACCTTTGGAAACCTGCCAGCATCACTGAACATCAGCCGCTTTTATAGGAAAAGCCTGATCATTTTTCATGTTTGCCTTAGATGGGATGCTATGGATCACTGCAACCAACCAAAATTGGAGGCATCACCAGTACCTTTAGAAGGTGAATGGCTCAAACACCCAGACAGCAAGCTATGGGCCTCCAATGCGGAGCCAAAGATGACCACATGATCGTTTTTTTACTTCCCCAAATTCGACCCCAACTAGTATCAACTAGTCAGCCATTTTATAGGAAAGTAGTCTTCCAGCACCCTATCTGACAGGGTCTATGTTGGTTTGGTGGATGGTAAATCCACTTCTTGCCACTGTAAAATCACTATAAAATCCTATAAACTTATAAAATCACCCTTAAAAATAAAATAACATACATTTAAACACACTAGAAAATGAACATAAAGTCACCATATATCACCATAAACACACCTCCGAAATCACCATAGAATCCCATTGCTATCCAACATTTACCGGCCAACATGACTTCCGGTCTCAGGCCAGAGGAGCGTGCCAGCTGGTTGAGCGAAGTTGGGGCCACCGAAATTGACAAAGGTTGGGATGTAAAAAAATAAATAGTATAGAAAGAATAATCCAGTGTATATCATATATTATCATATATTATCATATACTATCATATACTATCATATATTATCATATTATTATATTATCATATATCAAATAGATTAATAGATAAATAGATAAATAAATATATAATATGCGTGTGTGTCACGGAATGTGATGGATATTAATGAATATATAAATGAATGATGGGAATCAATTGGATGCGTGTCGATTACACATAGACACGCAGATATGTATATATATATATTATTTACAGTATATGTATGGTGGAGGAAACAAAATGGTGCACCTTGGTTTCATGGCTGAGTTTGATACATGAATGGTTTCGCATTCGATCCCCTGGATGGCAGCTACCCCCTATGGTTAATCCTTTTTAACCAAACAGAATGTATGAAAACTATCATATACCGCACTTTTGTGGATTTCCTGAACCACCTGCAAATACATTCAGACAAACATGTATCGCCCCCCTTCAAAAAAGTTAGGGAGGGGGGTCGCATTCCCGTTGCATTCAATATGACCTGACTCCAGCAACGTGTCTTGTTGAGGAACCCAGATGGGATGGTAAAGCAATCATGCTTACCACCCATATGGCTTGACGGTATACACCATCCATTTATAGTAAAATTGGGAATGGTGTACTATGGCCTTACTAACACTACTAATGTTTTGGGGGGATGGGTTGAAACCACTCATCAGCCCACGGTTTTACAAGATCATCCCGGGAGAAACATCCGCCCTGCCCCCACGGACCAAAGCTGTAAGGTGTGTCGCTTTGCCGTTGACGGCATTGTGCAGGTGGAATTGGGAATTGCAGGATTGTTCAAACACCTGTACTGTGGAAGATGGAGCACACTCTAGTCATAGTTGAGAAACATGCGTTCAAAACCTGCCTGTTAGTTCTATGAGTGTGATTACCTTTGAGTGTGATAGTTCCACTTCTTGGTGGCGTTCTTTGCTTCAATCGTCTCCTCAACAGTTTTATGGCCAGGCCAGTCAGTTTGGAGGCTCAGAACAGGGTCAGAACGACGGGTATTCAGAGGGTCATCTCAGGTAATTAAATAATTACTGGGCAGATACGAAACTAAATTAATTACTTGATAAAGTCGGAAAGTCAGCAAAGGCGGAAAAACGAGCCAACATATGAATGTAAGCCCGAAACATAATGACATAATGATACATAATGTGGATGTATAAACCATAGAATCTATAGAAATAATCAGAAGTTGTTGTCATGTCATGGTTTAGGTGAGGCTCACCGGGACTGGAAGGTGGGTGAAGGACCTCACGTCGCGACCAAACCCTGGAATGATGGTTAATAAGGAGTAACTATCCCCAAATAGCATCAAAATCATCAAAGAGCCTTATTTCAGGTTAGTGAATTACTATAATCATCTATAATTTACGCAGAAAATTATTGTAAATTTACAGCGTTGTTGATCATTGTTAGGACGATTCCTGGTGATCCACATATATTCGAGGCAGTTGGATCAACCTTCAGACGCCCCATCCTGGATGGTAAACCAACAAATGATCTTGATATGGACCTCAAATGTCTTCAAGTGATGAAACCCCCCAAAAAAGGGATGGCTTGGGTCAGCATCAAAAATCTCTGAACTCAACCCACTGGTACCCCATTTTAAATTGTACGTCGCCATGTCCCCGGAGCATCTCCCAAGGCTGTACAACGTCCTGAGTAGTGAGAAGTTTGGGGAGGGACTCAATGACAAGGTCCAGGGTCCAGACTTGCGCAAACGCGGTTGGGGTATGTTGGGGTTAGCCAGGTTCCATTTGAGTTGTATAAAAATGGTATCTTGTCATGGTTTCACTCCCCATGATTTAAGTTGGCCATATGTCCCTGGTCCCAGGATTTTTTCTTGTGCGATTCGCTAAAATCAAGCCAACGCCATGGGGTTCTGGGGGTTCTGCTCTTTTGCAAATCTGGCTGGTGGTTTTCAAATACAAACACGCACACACACATGATCATATGTATAAATTTATGTATATATATATACACATATATATTGCACATATGTATAAATATAAATAAATATATATATATATATGAATATGTACATATATATATATATGAGTATACTCTCCCCGAATAATGTTAGAACTGGGATAATTGTCCGTTGACCATTGAGATCAATATTCTTGGGACGTGAATGGCTCAAAAACCAACCGGAAGTCTTCTGCGAGTTTGGATGAAGATTCCTTCCGTCACAGGCTTCTGCCAGTCACCGGCCTAGATCTCCAGGCAGCAAAGAGGATCCATCGCACGATGCTGAAAAATCTGCCAGGGAGTCCAAGAGCCCGGAAAGCATATACAGTAATTCAAAAGAGCTCAAAACACAAGAAATGACAACTGCGGGACCAGTATGTCACTATGTCACACTATACTATACTTTACTATACTATCTTGTGCTTCCACATCAATTCCACATCATACATAGCAACAGGAATGCCGAACATTTTTTGGGCGGTCAACTTGTTTGGGTCCTGCTGCGGATTGCAGTCTGACTTCACTTGCCCCAATGTTCAATTTATATCAATTTATCACCAATAACAGTGGTGTCCACTTTTGATTTTAATTTAAAATTTTAATCCATCTTCACTGCAAGGGATACTGGACTTACTACGCTCTCCAAGGCACCTCTTCTCAGAGAAGCAGCAAAAATATCTCAAGCAGCCGCTCGGCGGCAAAAGTTGTGCAAGCAGCCGCAACCCGTTGTGAAGGAAACCGTTTGAAAATTACATGCTACTGGCAATTGCTAATTATCACTGCTGAGCAATCCCAGGAGTCCAAAGAAGCTGACTATTTGTATCCGAAGGTTGAGTTTTCAACACACCTGATTTATTTATATGAGAGTGCAAACCGCCCAACTAAACCGTTCCCAAATCCTTTCTCACTAATATGATATAAAACAAATTAGATGCCCTCCAGACACCACGGTTTCGTAAGATGTTTGTTCATTTGTTCATCTTCAGGCACCTTGGAGGTCATTTCATACTAGGGGGATGGGATTCATTTCATTTCTTTGGGGTGCCAATGATTTTTATTTGTCGTGATCTGTAGTGAAACCAGTTCCGCTCTTTGATGTGCTTTTAGGCACTGACACCTTCCACGTTGCTTGGGCATTTGGAGAATTTGGGAGGTTTGAGCTGCTCTCCGGCAATGGAATGTGATGCAGCAGTTGGTGTACTCACAATGGGATCGATCATCGATCGAAGTTTCCAACCCAACCATGCTTTCCTTCCAGGTCGGGTCTGGCAAAACTGAGCCCCGATCCCGAGACCGAAGCCAAGGCCCAGGGAGGCTTGGTGTGGGTTGTATTTTTTGGTGCGTGTAAGCCAGCAACCGACAGAACAGGGTACATAAATGATCAATGATGATCATATATAAAGATCATAAAAGATCAGAAAAGATAAATGAAGCTGGTCTGCTCCGGTTTAGCTTTGTGGTTTCAACACCAAAGGGCTCACACCATATCCATATGTACCAACGGTTCTTGATCAGAATGAGGCAGTGCTGGAAATTGGCCAAGGGAAATTAGTCACTACTTGTTGTTTATCATTATGATTTCATTATTGGACACATCCCTGCTGGGAATTCATCACTTGTTCCGATTTGTAATCGATTTTTCAATCCAGACAACCGGTTTCCAATGAGTTTACCAGAGCGGGTAACATCTGATACCGGGTTGCTGAATTGGCAGCCCGGATAGACGAAAGTTGGCAACTCACTGGGGGTCTCGGTTTCGACTTGAAAGCTGTCACAGTTGATATCCAAAACTGGATCATATTGGATCCATACCCCATCACTGGCAACGACATTTTCAAGGTGTTGAACGACCAATGAGTTTCGGCCGCGAATTTTTCAGGAGATGATGGACTACAAGTCGGTCAGAAGAAAGGCAGAGAAGCAACCTGCAACCACATATATTTGGAGATGTAGAGTTAGTTGGAGGAAACGGTCCCATGTTGGATATGGGATGTAGGTTTTCCAAGCACAACCTTTCGGACCGTCCTATGTTATGTTGGGGGATGTTGGGGGTACATACCCAATCTTGGCTCTATTTGCTGTTTTCGTGCTGCTCCCCGGTACCCCCATGCCACAAGGTACTGCCAAAAGATATTGCCATCGTTCGATCGTCCATGAAAATATATCTCTTTTCTTCTCCTTCAAATCCGACAGGTTTGAATCCGAAAATAAGGGAAGGACCGCTTGAACCCAGAGATGTAAGATACCAATAGATACCACTGTAGTATCCATATGGCCTTCAATTCCCCTTATTTCCAGGATTTTCCAGGTTCCAGTCAACATAGTCAACCCACAGACAGCACCAGGGCGATGAAGATGCTGCTGTGCGGATGGAGGCTGATAAAGCAGATTGGGTTGCTGGAATGGGGCAGCCCAAAACGGGGCTTTGTTTCCAACATGGGGCACTGGTGCACCCACAGAATTGGTCTTTTTGAGTTCTACACCAGCTAATTTAAGTACCATAATTAATTGAGTGCCATTCCTAAATATTGTATAAAGAAATTGGGCTGCCGATTGTTGTTGTCCCCTTTTGGGGAGCCAGTGTATCAGTTTAGAAGCGTTTTTGAGTTCTTGCCCATCAGGGACTTGCAATCTGAGCGCATTCCGTCATCGTCATCGTCATCCTTATCATCCTCATCATCCTCATCATTATCATCATCATCATCATCACGAGGAGATGATGGCAAGATGTCGCAATTTCGTTCGGGCGAAGGCAAGGCTTAGTGGTGATATAGAGGGGCTTTTTTTTCGAGCTATACGGACATCCATATTCTCAAGATTTCCAATGAAAATTGGGGAAAAAAAGGTGTTACAATCAGAGTTTTCCAGCCGCATGATAGGGAATCAATTTCCTAGAAGTTTGGCGCGCAAAAAAGGAGCTTCATGAACTGGGATATGAACAGAAACAACGGAATATACGATATATGTAATTATACACATATATATATATATATAATTATATATATAATTATATATATAATTATATATATATAATTATATATATATAATTATATATATATATAAGTGAGAATCAATGGGTTTCCATTTGGGACTTGGTCTCCTGGAATTGTAGCAGAACCAACCAAAGACATGCATGCTTGTTTTGCTATGCTCCGGGATCGGAGACACAAGTCTTGTGAAAGCTGAATGAAAAGGGCTATGCGAAAAAAGGTGGATGGTTTTGGACAGAAATCACTTCCCAAAATTCGTTGAAATGAGTTGCAAACGGGTTGAGCAGTTGAACATGCTTAAACAGCCGATGTGTCCATCAGCCAATATGAAGCTTGTGAAGAGGCTGATACCTTTGAAGAGCGAATGAGAGAAGCACAGCAACGTGAAGAAGAGGTGCGGAGATTGGAGGATTAGGGCATCGTCAATCTGGAGACTTGAATTCTGTCCTCAATCCCTGGTGAATCACTGGCCTCACAAGAAAAACATTGCAATGTGGGAAGCCGTCCCAGTGGTCATTTTGTATCATTTTATATACATCCCAGCTGACTAAGGGCATACCGGCATAGTCAATTTCATTAAAACACTTTTGGGGGAAGATGGGGAGGGGGGTTTATTGTAGTTACCACACGATTTCCCAATACGCCATCCTTATCATTCTCCCCAAAAATAGTGGATAATTATGGATAATTGTCGAATCATTAGCACCGTATTGCAGCATTGCACCATTATTCCGTAGGGAGGAACCACCATGGGAAAAGGCGTCCTTTTGAAGGCCCATCGAGCGGAGCGCCTCCGGCGAGAGAGGGAAGAGAGAGAGCGCTTGGCAAAGGAGTGCGGGGCTGAGATTCAGCGGGTTTGTCATTCGGGTCTATCAAAATGATATGGAAAAGCATGGAACACCATTCGACACCCCATGGCTCAGCATCACGAAGCATCATTAATATGATGCTGTATCATTGATTGTCATGTATCATATTCGTGCCATTACAAATGAACATGAATGAACATGTGATCAGGAGTTTCATGCATTTGCCACGATCATTGCCATATTTTTACTATGGGAATTCGGAGCCAAGTCGAGCCTAGATTTTCCGCCAAGGTGGGCGGAGATCGAAGCATGGCATGCGCCCATGGAACGTGCTTTTCTCGGTGAACAGACGTGCAGTATGTGCATACATAATCACACATAATTACATGATACATGTATGATACAATGATACAGATACATTATTGTTTTATACCTGATTGAATTGTTACCATATGTATGGGTGTACCTGTTTAGCCATTCATTGATCTTCTTACTTGTCTATATTTTGGGGACTTGCTTGCACGCCGGTAATATGTATGTTTGTGTGCAACTGGTGATGGTTGTTTCATTGGGGATGAAAGTCCCGTAAATGAGAGGTGCTTGACAGAATTGGATTTGTGTTGCCGACCTTGTTGGGATTAACTTCAAGGAATTCAGTTAACCTATGATGTGTTTTTTTGGAATATTGCCCGTATCAAACAGAATCCATTTTGTGAAGGCAGCTCCCTTCACAGAGTCCATTTTGTGAAGGCAGCTCTCTTCACAGAATCCATTTTGTGAAGGCAGCTCCCTGCACAGATTCCATTTTGTGAAGGCAGCTCCCTTCACAGAATCCATTTTGTGAAGGCAGCCCCCAGTGGAATGCGCTTATTGACGCGGTGCTGTTGCATTTTCACGCAACAAAAGGTGGCCAATTTTGATTTTTTTGAAGAGGACAACAAACATCAACAAACTTCCTATTGCTCAAAAAAATGTGGGTCCGATTTGGTAGGTGCTTCTGAGCCTTCAGCTCATCATGATCATAATGGTCCAGCAGTTCAGTATGAAAAACCTCAAGTGGTGAATAGAGGACTTAGATCCTCTATTGCAATGGTAACGTATGTAAAAATATCTCATCAAGCAAAGTAGGGCCCAATGAAGGCCACGAGGACCCAATTGCTACTTGGTGCATCCCAGTTGCTGATGTACGGTAATTATACAACGACATTTAAATATGTGGAGGGCGGGCCAGACAGCAAGGCCCCGGAGGTAGTATGAAATACCAGTTCGTATATTTAAATGTAGTTGCAGTTGCAGTATGTTTAAATGAATTGGATTTCGTATGTTTAAATGGCTGGGCGGGCCAAGGAAACCTTCCCGGAGGTAGTCTGAAATACCTGTTCGTATATTTAAAAATATGTATATTTAAATGTAGTTACCGTAGTTATACAATGGCCATACCATCACCCAGACATACTGTACATGGGATATACCATGATATACCCCAGTTCGATTAATGGGCTTAGAACCACTTACCCACTGGATCCCGCACCCCCAGGCAATGTCAAACCAGGACAAATTAGACCCCTCAATCGGCCCTCAATTTCCCAATGGGATCTAATGGGGTTCCAATTCAACGTCATATTGCCACTTTCTGGAGATGATCCCTTTCATGAATCAACAGAATTCGTTGTACTCCCGGGTAGACATCACCCAAATCTCAGCAAATCTATATGTCTGTTTGATGAAAACCAGGGTTTTCTATGGTTTTCTCGTTTTTTGGCTTATTAAAACCAGTTAAACAACTGCTTTTTGCTGGTTGACCCCGCCATTTATTGATCCCCACAGCGGTCGGACTCCGTGTTTGAGGCTGGGAGTCATCTCAGCTGGCTTCGGAGGATCTTCGGAGCCAGGAGATCAGCGAGATGGAAGCGGAGGCCAAGTTGGAGAGCAGGTTTTTGGAAATTGTGGGTAATATATAGATAATGATAGATATTTATATATATAGTGTACTAGTATAACATAAAGATAGATGATAGTACAGGATAATGATAGATAGAGTGTGTTTATATATATAGTACAATATAAAGTGGAGCAGACAAACAGAGACAGACAGACAGACAGCCAGGCAGGCAGGCAGGGAGGCAGGTAGATAGAAAGATAGATAGATAGATAGATAGGTAGATAGATTTATAATGTGTGTGTATAAGTATCCGGATGGATGGATGGGTGAGCGGGTGGGAGGGTGGATGGATGGATAATACATAGATAGGTAGATTGATAGGTACATAGATGGACACATAGGTAGATAGGTAGGCAGATAGATATGCGGATAGATATGTTTCAGATAGATGGAATTAGATGAACGTAGATGATTACCTTTCTGCCCTGAATCAAGCACTCCTTATTATGTTAGTGAAGGTCACGCCCTCCGCAAGGGTCCAAGCAGGGGACATTGAGCTGACTTGTTTGGGGCACATGGATTTCAAACCCCATGGTATTCCGTTGTCTCCATGGATATTGGGCATGGGCGGCATGGGTCAAAACCTTGACTTCCATATCTTTGTGGGATTGAACTTCAATGAACATCCATAGATAAATCCCAGTTATGTTTGTCCCCCATTCGCCAGGGAGTTCCATGCATTTTGACCCAGAACCATATTATCCGTATGGATGACCTTCCCTCTGGATCTGGATGACAGAATGCTGGAATGAGATGGCCCCTAAATGATGGTCACCGGGCTAGGCCTTCTTTGATGCAATGGGGCTAAGATACAAGCGGAAACTTTCATCCTTTTGGATGCCATGTTGCTCCTTCAGCAGGTACGTGCAGCGTTGCGGACCAGCAAGGGGTGCCTTGCACTAAAAAGGGCATTCGGCACCACTTTTTGAGCACATGGCCATACGATGCAAGATATGTGCTGAATAATTATCCATTTGGATTGTCGCTTCACTGGGGGTACAGTTAGAACCTTGAATGAATTGCAATGTGGCAATTGGTGGAATATTCATTGGATAAGAATGGAAAAGAAACATATTCCATACAGCACTTTCTGGGATACACCCCATTCATGTAACTAGGCCGGGCTAGAAAGCCAATATCTCTCCCAGCGATCCCAGGATTGGTTTAAGGGAAAATCTGTGGGAAACCCTTTGGCCAATCCCGATTGAATTTAAGATGGGTCGTTCCTCTCCTTTGGAACAGTACGCCATGAAAGTCATGGCCCTCTTTTTTTCGATGATTTATCTCTTAGAAATGGATGAAATGGTGATTTCCATCTCTTAGTCATTGCCAGAGGCTATGGGTTTTCCATGCCTTTTACCCCGCAACTGGAGCGACCTTGGACTGCGCAAGCAGGTCCAGATCGAGGTCGCGACGCTCGCGACGGAAGCGTCGAAGCAGCTCGCAGTCGTAGCGAAATTTGAGGCGAGCTGGGCGCTGGACGCGTGGTGCCAAAGTGGAAGTGCTGGGAAGTTAATGTGAAAAATGTTGGATGTACAGTACTTCGTTTTATAGCATCAAACCTTGGGGGAATATATTATCTAATTAATCATGAAGAAACACTGTTTTTTTTTCAAATCTGGAAAGCTAATTAACTTTTTACATTGGAAATTACAAGTTTTAATAGGTAAGTCCTCTACAACCTGGCAGCTTTCCATTACCATTTTTGAATACACAAGGATAAGTGGAAATCTGCTGGGCTGGGCTACCAAGAGGTTGGGAAACCGTTGGTTTTTTTGAGGGCTAATCAGGGCAACCCCCAACGTGCAGCTCTTGGCTCAAGTTGCCATGGCGTTTGCACGGCAACGTCTCACGAGTACTCCAGTGGTTGGCAAAGTGGTGGAGCAGCTCGGCTTCAGGTCCCATGAGCTGATGGTAGCCGGGGGTTGCGGGCCACGACACTACCATGGCGCAGCTAAGGTGGAAGAAGACCCATGGCTGGATAGAACCAGAGTGCAGCATTGATCATCCTGATATCGGCAAACATCAAGGCATCCAGGGGAGCTGTGCCACAGTCCAAGTGGCTCATATTCCAATGGTTTTGGTAAATGAATTTGCTGATGTAGGTGATGCCATACTGCACCATGGTGACTCTGCCATGTATGAGTTCTTTGCCAGGAGCTGCCAGGTTTGCTCGGCATCCCCCGCTGGTTGGTGGTTTCAAACATGTTTTATTTTCCATTTCATATGGGTTGTCATCCTTCCCATTGACTCATATTTTTCAAGCTTGTTAAAACCACCAACCAGCCAGATAAACCACCAACCATTGAGATTCCAAATTTTCAGCTTCCTGTGACCCTTGGACGCTGTCAGGTCACATCTTCGTGCATGGCGAGGACATTGTGCCCAAGTGGCGAGGTTTGGTCGCTGGGTCCATGGTGGAGTTCATCCTCTACTTTGACGGCTGGGAGCCGAGCTAAAGGCACCGTACGTCTTGCTGTGGCTCTTGTTACTTCGAAGACGCACGATCCGTTCTTACTCTGGGGGCCCTAAGTTTGACGAAGCTATTTCAACCCAATCCCAGCATGAGAGGCGATCAGAATGCCCGAAGATGCGCTGTTTCAACATCACAAGCCTGTGAATCAGCTTGCCATGTTGCGGGTAAGGATGCATCCAAACTAGTTCTGGCGCATTCTGGCGCTAATTGCATGTTGTTCCTGTTTTCGATTCAACATTGATTGTGGTCACCTAGGTATGTCACCAGGGCTTGTATGTTTTTTGTATCCCAACTTGTGGTGGTTGTATTGCTGTACCGGGTTGGGTGGAAAAAAGCAAAGCATATTCTGTGAATCACATCATCCCCAAGACACACCTTTCTTGCCTATCTTGCCTCAATCACCACTTCCAGGTACTCCCAGAATTATTTGAAGAGGCTTTTGTACAGAACCCCTATATATCCTATATGTTGTGGTAAGAACCCAAGGGTATCCGGTATCTGGCATCCTGAAGATGTTCCCTTCAAGCGACTCATTGACCATCATTGACCCACCATGATTCATTGGTCAAATCACCCATGTTCATCCGTGTTCATTCCTTTTCCAGGTAACATCTAGTTTTAAGCCGCTTAAAACCACCACCTGTTTTACGGAGTTAAGTCCCAATGCTTGATCATCAACGAAAAATCCTCGGTGGTTGATGGTTTTGATGGTGAAGTTCCCCCTTTTTCAAGGTAAATCCACGGTAAATCCATGGTAAATCCATGGTAAATCCTGAGGTCATGGCCTGGGTGCGGAGGAATGCATGGCGCGGAAGGTGCTACGAGTGACCTTGGCCTGGAAACAGGCGCAGGAGCGCGGTTGTGGAAACTGGTGGGATGGGAAGAAAGTGGTTGAAGCTTGAAACGTGTTGAAAAATGCGGAAATGGATAAACACCCAGTTCTGGTAGTTGGAGTTATATAGTTTAGAAAAAGGTTGGAAAGGCTCTGGAGTTAGTGCTGGAGTTAGTTATTGAACTTAGAATTGGTACACAGACGCGAAGGATGGGCCATGATCATCCACGATCTGCACCTGGGTCACGACATGCTGGATTTAGGTGCCATCTCTTGGATATACCATCTGGTTATTTAACATAGCCATGGAAAATCCCTCATAAATGGAGGTTTCTAGCTGGGAAAATCCACTATAAATGGACCATTTTCCATGGCTATGTTAGTCATAACCAGAGGGTAGTTCATCCATGTTCATCCTAAAACCACTTAATGTCACGGGCCCGTCTCCCCGCCTTGATCACCACCTTTGACAGTCGTGGGCAGTAACCATGATACCGAGTGCTACCACACCCCCAAGTTGTTTTCCCCCACTGCTAACCAGATATGCGTAGTATATAATATATAATAAATATATATATATCATATATATATATAGCCAGACATGACCAGCCATCCTCATTATCATGATACTCGTATATCATGTCAATGAAATCACCACGTCATTTGACTGAGTGAACGCCAGGATCTGTTTGGAGCAGATGGTCAAGGTCTTGCAGAGTTTGAGGCCAAGATGCAGGCCGGGAATTTACGGCTTGTTTCACTAAGGGCATATGGAGGTGTACTAAAATGGGTGTGCTCCAAATCATATCCAGATGCCTCCATATGGCATCATTCATGGATTTTAATGCATACATATTGGCGATGAATTAAAACCATGAACCAGTTTTCTTGATCAACTTCATGAGGCGAAACCTGGACTGCTATCAATGGTCACCGGCCATGACTTGCAACAAGGAAGACTAGAGTCGCATAAGGATATTTGTTCGGCAATAAATCTAGCTATCATTGGGCGTTTGATTGGGGGTAGAATCAAAGCAACGTTCAAGCTGAAGTGGACACTCCGAGGGTGAAGTTCAAAAGAGCCCGTTTTGTAAATCCGGGATTGATATGGAAAGATGAGTATGATAGCATGTGATTGCGAACAACTCTTATGGCAAATGTTGCTCACTGCATTGCATCCTAAAGTGGGTATAACCGGCCACCCACAAAGCTTTAATGACTTAACGACTCAATCTTCTTCCTCATTTTAAGCTGGATTGTCACCTGTTTGGTAGATAAAATGTATCATTTGACTTTCAAGTCATTTTGCACTCCATCTCAAGTTCCAAGATTTGGCCCCGTTACCCTGCCGATCAGCCCACTTTGGAGGTGAGCATACGGGCGTATCAGTGGTGCCAAATGGATGCTCGGATGAGGGGTTTAACCTGCCAAAAATATTCTGCGCAACGAGGTAATGGACGGGGAGTGAGGGCATGATAACAAGGCATGTTGGGAAGTAGCCTTGGGGACCTGCTGATTTTATTTTTGAAAAGTCCTTGATTCTTTTCTTTGCGTCAAGTGGGGTTGGATCTTTGATTTTATATCGGGCACTCGTGGTCCCCCAGGTTGAGATCTGGGATTTTAATCGGCCCATACCATCGTTGGGTTCGGGGCGCTTTGAGTTCAAATTGCATCAGCCTGGCCCAGTCAGCGATAGTTTCGTGAAGCGAAATAGTGCGAACACTCACGGATCAAAACTTAGGACTTAAGACCTCCCAGCCCGCATTTGTACTCCCCATTATCGCAGCTCCGCACCCCCACCGTGTTCTGAGGATGGAACCAACAGCGATTTGCCTTTTTTGCTCTTTGAGATTTGGGGAAGGCCACAGGCTGCCACTCGCCTTGCAGGTCTTCCCATGCCCTTGTTTTGGAGGAAGGGCGAACGAATGCATCTACATTTGGGCACCCTCAAAATCATAGTCGTGTAGTGAAAATTCCTACCTCAGAATCAATCATTGTCAGAGTCACATATCACAGGGGAAAACTACCACTCAATGGTTTGGCTGAGAGTTGTTGGAGCAGATCTCTATTACAATATTGACAATATCTATATTGTAATTGTATAACATATATATATATTATAATTATATAACCTTATATATATAACATTATATATATAACCGTTTAGATTGAAAGACCCAGAAAGACCCGGGCTCACCCATTTTGCCATTCCTAATGTGCCGTCCTGTGGGCACATAAATCCATGGCCCAATGGGGCTCTTTGAGCCGCGCTTTACATAGGCATTTGGGAAGCACAGTTCAGCTACGAAGACAGTCAGTGTTAGGTCGTACAAGGTAAGAATGTTCCATGTAGCTGGGATGTTTGAAAATGGTTGAGTTCCCCAAAGTTTGAACGTGCCCGTGTCCTGAGGTAGTTGAGACCATTGATGCTTTGGCCATGAAGCGAGAAGATTCCAAAGACTCAGAAACGCCGCTTGGCTGGGAGAGCACATGGTGCACCTGTTCAAAATGACCACATAGCCAATGCAATTCAGTGCGAACTTGGAATGTGCAGAATATGTATATAGGTAGATGGTGGTAGATGACTCAAGTTCATTCAATTTCACCAGCGGAGGGAGGCAACCCACTTGGTTCCCAGGCTGTGTGTCAACCTCCTCTTGCCTGAGAGTCGATTGTGGAAGGCTCCACTGGGGTGGTCCCCACGAAAAAGATAGGAAAGGTATGGAAAGGTTGCCAATATCGGTCAAAATAAGCGTAGACTACTACAGTAAGGGAGGGTCCAGTTGTGTTGAGAAAGTGCACCAAACCATGTAAAGCGATAGGGCCCCCAAAAGAAAACGATAACTTGTAACCATATGAGAGTACATTAAGTTTGGTGTAAACCAAGCAATTAAATATTGTTATGTGCCTTCACGCGATGGCAAAATTGATGAAGAAAATTCAACCTGCAGTGCCCACGTTTCCTGCAGTTGCCATACCATTTGTTGTCCAAGGGGATTGAACTGTTGCTTTCTGCAGGCAGTTGTTTTTTCTCCCAGGTCCCAAAGCAGTATGACTAAACTCAACTAAATGCAACCGAATTCTGAATTAAATTAAAACATACGTTTAAATCTACAGTAATTCTGAATCCCGTCTATAGGCTTTACTTTAATTTGAATTTCGTATTCCTTTGTGTCCTTTTCTTTGTTTTTCCTTCCCTTTTCCTTTTGTGTTCCTTTTGAATTCTGAAGTAAATCAAAGCTGATTTTGAATCCAATTCTGCATTTCATTTATTTCATTTCCCTTTTGATTTGTCCTTTCTTTTTCCATTGTTTGCTTTTCTCGTTCTTTCATTCCTTTTTCCTTTTATTTTTTCAATTGTCCTTTTTGTTCCACGTTCCTTTTTATTTTCCTTTCTTGATCATCAAGGTGTTCGGATTTAGCGATAACCTTAGCGATAACCTAGCGATAACCTTTTGTTGAAAAAGCAACCCCGGATGAGGAATAGACTCATTTGATCCCAACAAGAAGAACTCAACAAAAGAGCGAATAGGTTCTCAACCCTAGGCCATCAGATTGTTTTGAGACTTGGGGAGCCTTAAGCACTTCTTCATAGCTACGAACGCTTGTTTATTGGAACTATGAGGTCCCATCTTCAAGTTCTAGATCTTTTGAGCAGGGAAGTGTGGCGTTTTCTGACGCCATGGCTTATCAAGAGGGGCAATTGCGTGGTGACCCTTTTTCGTTTTCATCGAATTAGTGATCTTGTAACTGTTGGGAACCATTAATCTTAATTAATCAAGTTCAAAGATATTCAAAGTTGAGCTTGTCATTAATGTCCTTCCCTAGGAATGTGCTTAGATAGCTCCCCAACATGTTTGCAAACGCAAAGACAACGAGCGCCCCTTAATCCATTCCCAGCAGTTTAGAGATCTGAATCCGTGAAGCGAATTCCGCTGCATGTTTGCATTATTTAGTGCTGATTTGAACAAAACACTGTAAAGCGATAGGGCCCCAAAAGAGCGATAACCTATTTTCGTACCAAGCATCAACAATTGACTTTGACGGCGGCTCGTATGGAAATGGGGGTTTCTTAAAATGGAGGAAGCCCAAAAACCATCGGTTTCGATTTGGGAGTTGTCCCCTCTTTAGGACAACTCCATACCGGGCCCTGAGCCTTCCTCAGCTGGGCAAAAACCAAAACAGGTGGACCTGTTTCAGCTGCAGCACTTCGGAGGTTTGGAGGCTCCGAGATCATTGGGGCCTGGTGGTAGGGAAATCGGCACCAGCACCATGGTGACAGATATGGTGATGATATTTGAATATATTTGATGATAATCATTGTTAGTGTTGCTATCATTCTTGTCAAGTGTGTTGTTATGGTTTTGATTGTGATTATTGTCGACATGTGTTTCATTGTGTGTCCTTTTTAATTGAATATCATGATGCTTCATTATACTCGTACATTATGATTCATTATGATTCATTATGATGCAGTATGACTATGAACCTAGTTCTCATTGTGATAATGGTCATTTTATTACTATGATAAATCTATGATTGTTATGTTGATGTTTCTGATTTTGATCGTACTAATGTGGTGAACAAACTTCATACACTGCCCAAACTTAGGTATCCAGCTCCATCACCATCACCGATCCGATGCCTTGTCGAACGCTGACCCTGCAGGCGCCTGCGGGACATGGTTTGTTAAAAGCCAACGCCTGGGGGAAACATAGAAAAAGATGTGAACAATCCATGGTCTATGAAGAAAATTATCTTTAAACGCTGGAGTTTCCACATCAATCTTAGTTTACCCTTGGATATGTGATGATATGTGTTAGTTAGTAAGGGCAACCCAGTAGCGTATACCTACTGGACCTACCCATTCGGGGATGGTTGAAATCCCGTCCTTGGTTTGTTCATGTTGGGGGCCCATAGGTCCTAGATGGTATTTTAGTGTATTTCATATTGATGGGATCGGATGAAGTGGGTGCCAACGAGATGATAACCATGCTCACCCAACTCTAGTGGTTCGCTGGTGCGAGCGGACACAAAAACCCCCGCAGTGGGCCACATGCCATGGATTTTGCACTATAGTTTTGGTTATTGATTACCTAGTTACTTGACCAATTGGCATATTTGGTCAGGATTTCCGCAGCAATGATGTTCACTTTCCAGCCTCAAATGGATCAGCGGAATGATGAGCCATGATGAAACCGCGATTGATCATGTCTTGCAGAATATTTTTTTTTTTTTTTTTTTGCTTACTATCCCCTTAAGTATATGTGTTAGGGTCGTGTAGGAATTCCTAAGACCCCTCATTTGATGGCCACTGCCAGGCAATGCAGCCCAACTTCCGCTCGGCCCTCCATGCGCTGATTGCGCAGGCCTTCCGGTTCGCAATTATCGTCATGGGGGTGGAAACCACCAACCAGATGTTTCATGATGTTTCTATGCCTCTTCTGGAAGAGTAGTCCATGGTAGTCCCTTCAAATGGCATGCAACCATACAACCAGGGTACAACTGGCAGGTTTGGTGCTGTCAGTTCTGAACATTCAAATGATTGGAAAAGAGAATCCGCCTGTCTAATCTGCCTATTTGTTCGCCACAATGGTGTCAGGAAGTGAGGATATCATGTCTGCATTGAGTGAATCTAATCTTAGGCACAAACAGACATGGCCGTCAGGTTGAAGTGCCCCATCAGAATCATATCAGAATGACTGGGGGGGTGTCTTGTTGGCGTCAAGTTAGTCCAGAGATGTGCAAATGCTGCAAATGATTCGCTTGAAAGAAGATAAAGAAGCTTCCAGCAGGAGAAGATCATCAAAACATAAAAAATCATCCCGGATCATCCCGATTCCCATTGTTCCCATTGAAACATGTCGGATTCAGTATCTAGTTGTCGTCATCAGTATGATAGCTACATATAGCTACCATAGTTACCATGATCAGCAGCACTTCGCACTTCACTCCTGCAACATCCTGCAACCAAGGCCTGCGATTGAAGATCGACTCGGTCTGAGTAGCGACGTTGCCAACCGTCTCACCAAACCAGTACCATATACACAGGCATTGTTTGTTCATGGAAAAAAAAAGGCAGCAGACCATGTTCCAAGTTTTGGTCCAAAGGGGTCTTTAAAGCTGCTGTGGGTTTCGTTTGGTGGTGTTGACTTGATGTTTGAACTTTCTAGTTCCCACTTCAATGAGCTTCAATGCGGCCATGAAGGATACAGCAATGGTTCGTCGTGGAAAGTGTCAAACCTATTGGGGATGATTGGGGCATGAATGTCCATTTGCTGGTTATGTGTGATTTTCAAAACCAGGGTGCCAAGTTCTCGTCCCATTTTTTCATTGTCCCGCCGTGTGCAGGCCGCTGAGGGCAGTGAAAAGCTAGCCTGATGGATGTTTCTGAACATTTTTAGTTTAGTCCCAGAAGTGAAGATATTTGTAGATGGCAGATGGAAACAAAATCACTTGGAACATAGCGGAAGCAAGTTTGGGCAAAGTTTGGGGAATCACAGGCAGAGGCACGCCAGTGGCCACGCAAGTGAGCCGATGTGCGGAATCAGCTCCAGAAACCCAGCCCGAGCAGAAAAGGCTTACGTTTTGGGAATGGCGATGAACCAATGGCCAATAGCGTTCAAAGGTATAGGGGACCCACATGGCTAATTATTAGAGGTAGGATCGAGGCTGGAAACGGAATTTCCAACTGAGCACCTGTTTGTCCTTTGCATTCCATTTGGAGGCAAGGGTTTGAGTGATGACACACCAAAGAATTTCAGTCCACTGGTAATGCCAGGGTATGGGTCCAACCATTGGCAACCTAGCAATCACCACGATACTGTTGAGAATATCTCATTTCAGAATCATCATCTACATCTTTTGGGGGACTGCTTGGGTTTGACCCAGTTTTGATTCTCATTTGGGAAACAAGACTGCGCGGAGATATGCTTCCTGCAGCATGCTCGTCATCATTACCGAAGCCGTATGTATCGCCAGCCGCAATGATGGGCCGGCGCAGGACAAGGCGCGATTGGCTCACCCTCCTGAACCAACCAGGGTGATGAAAATCAGCACCTCAAAGGAAGATGACTTCGTACTGGAAATGGGCTGGATTTCCAATGTATAGATGTTACTTCCCATATTTTTACCCTGGATAGTCAACCCCAATCGACTGATTGGTTGGGATTGGTTCAAACCACGAAGCAGTCGAAGCAGGTATTGTCTCCCTGAACTTGAGGGAACCGCCGCCCCCCTTGCTTTTACAAATGGATTCTTTTGAGGGATGTTTCTGGGTCTCCCGAAAATTAATGAAAATGAGGCACAGCAATGTGAGACGCAGACAAAGTGAGAAAGGGGGAGAAGGAGGGAGAGATGGAGAGAACAAGAGAGGCAGAAAGATACTGTGAAGTAGAATGGATCCAATGAAACCCTGTGTGGGGTTGGAAACTTCACACGTGCTGGGTCATCGTGCTCTTGGGTAACTTTTGGATAGTTTTGGTGGAAACGAGGTTAGTGATCAAAACGAGACCAGGGAAGGGAAACCTTGGCCCAGGCCGCTGTGCGCAGTAGCATGCTTCCTCCTGCTGTGTGTTTGGAGCAAGGTGGATTGAGGGACATGAAGCTTGCAGAGCTTGTTCATGTAGCATCACTGGATACATTTTGTCATTTCAATATTGCCAATCCCTGAATTGGGATGGGTTGAATCGAAATCTCCGGAGCAAGTTTGGACTGGCAGGATGTATATAGCTCACCTGAGTTGTGATTTTGTTTTGGTGATCAGCTAAAATTTCCCCGTTTATGCCATGGATATATCATGATATATCACAATATATACGTGTATATATTATATATATATATATGTGGATGGACAAAACCCGAATTGTTGCAACACCCAGAAGTTCAACAATGCCAGCAACCCCCCATATTTAACAAAAGATAACAAAAGAAAATAATCCAGTAACCAGGGATCCTAGGGTATGGCAAAACGATGAGGATTCTTGTGGATATTTGTATAATAACCCGTCTTAATCATTCTTAATCTGGTAAGGGATCCTAGGATATTGAAAACATTGGCTGACGCCAACCCATTGAGTCACCATGACTTCACGCTCGGTCTCAGACCTTCGTGTCGAACCTCGCCCAGCGTGGCGCAGCAGGCGGGGCTTTCATATTGTTTCAATGTGTTGCAATACACGATTTGGTTTAATTTGGGGTGATTTAGGAGCACTCTATCTTAGAGAAACACTACAATATGGTGGCATACTGTTCGACTTTTTCTGGGAGAAATAAGGAAAGATATGAAGAAACAACAACAACAACAACAACAACAACCACAACCACAACAACAACAACAACACCAACAACAGCAGCAACAACAACAGCAGCAGCAACAACAACAACACCACCAACAGCAGCAGCAGCAACAACAACAACACCACCAACAGCAGCAGCAACAACAACAACAACAAACATGAGATCGAAAAAAAACTGAAACGAAACTGCTGTGTTTTTTTCGGCTGAGTTGCGGACTCATCAGCTTGGAAGCAGCCAGTGCATGATGCATTTCTGGTTCAGAGGGCACACCAGCTGCCTTGAGCACCGCGGGCCGTAGGCGCTCGCTCACGGTGCTTCTTCGGTTTCTCTTTTTTTTAGGGTAGGTACCCTGGATTTGCTGAAGGTGGCTTTTTACTTTCCCGTTGGTCAATCATGGTCAAAGCGCTCATTTTTATGGGGAATGGATGTGAATGGATAAAGTTAAGGAAATATGTTTGATCTTGTTTGATTTTGTGGTAGCTCCTCTGGTGCAACTCCCAGGTCTTTTGCTCATAACATGCTTCCAGTCGAGCCTCGTTTGAAACCCTTGGGCGCCACGATTCTCCACTACGCGGATGGTGCAGACACAAAGGTGGAATTCAAACGCTGTCATTCCTACAGCGGTTGCTGGATGCGCTTTCAAACATCATTTTCTTTTTGCAGATGTTCCTAAATTTCCAGAAATCAACTAATATGGATCCCCCGAACCCTCAACTTGAGGCTTTCCCAAAGCGCCTGGCCAGGTTACATCCCTTATGGCTTGAGCGATGCAGATGCCAAGTCAGATTGTTCTGTGGAGGATGCGGATCCATGCGACGTGGTGTGGCCCGGCACCGATGAAGAACACGAGGCTCCTGTGCGCCCACCGGCGGCCGCGAGTGGATCGAGTGGATCACAGGAGCCGGTGAACGTTCAGCGTGAACGGGATCGAGCCACTATGGGAGAAAAGGTTATCGTAGGACAGGGCGCTGAAAAAAGTGGTCAGCCACAGAGTTTGGTTATGTTTGGTTACTCCGGGTTGAACATGGGCTCCGCCCAACTTTTTCAGAGGTGGTTGCGCGCCATCTATTTAACAGTGAAAAAATCCTTTCCCAAATATACCCGAAACAGCCAATATGCCTGAAGATGGCGCAACCCAACATGTGCAAAATGCACAAATTTGTGCCATCTACCCCATTTTAAGATATTTTAAGTTTAAAATCCATCTTTCAGGAAAGGATGTTTGGTCATCAAAACTTTGATGAAAAGGGTTCGTCCGGTTGAAGTTAAGTTTTGAAGGGGAAAAACAAATCATGTATAATAGATGGCGCAACCACCTGGGACGGTGCCATCCAGTTGCTCTTGAAAAGTCTTGCAAACAATGCCCCAAAAGGGAATAACCCTACTGCCACAATAGATCGAACCAATTCTTGAGTGTGGGTCCCCGCACGCCATGAACACCAATATGTCAGAATAGATGTGTAAACGGACAGTAAGCGGCGCTTTAAAGAGGGTTGGGTATAGATGAAGGGAAATGCAGAAAGGGGAGGATCTACACCAAAACACTCCGGGAATAGATGCTCCATTCCTGTGTGAACACCTGTAAACACAACCAATCCCCAAAACCTGGGAATACATGGTGCAACCCCCAAAAGGGGCTGTGCAGAAATGGAAGCATCTACAATAAAACAATCAAAACACCGCGGGAATAGATGTTCCATTCCCCCTGCAAACCAAGCCAAACCAAAAAATTAAATACAGGAATAGATGGCGCAACCCCCAAAATGGGCTGCAAGTCACCTCAAAACACAGCTGACTGAAAAGGCGGGATCCCCAAGAAATCTACCAAACACTGTGGAGAACATGCAAACCCAACCAAACCCAAAAAAGGCAGGAATAGATGGCGCAACCCCAAAGAGGGTTGCAAGTCCAACAACAAATTGCTGAAATTGCAGGTTTTGCAGAAAATCCACCAAAACACCATAGGAATAGACGGTGCATACACGTGGGAACACCTGCAAACCCAAACCCAAAAATGCAAGAAGAGATGGCGCAACCCCCAAAAGTGGCTGCAAGTCACCTCAAAACACAGCTGAAAAGGCGGGATCCCTAAGAAATCCTCCAAAACACCGCGTGAATAGGTGCTACATTCCCGTGGCAAGAGCTGCAAACCCAACCAAAACCCAAAAATGCGGGAATAGATTAATAGATGGTGCGATGGCGCAACCCCCAACTTGGAGACATTTCAAAGGTTTTGCATGGTAGCCAGTGGGAGCAACATCAAAAACAAACATCAGACATCTCGATTTCAGGTTTGCGAGATTCTTGGCATAGATGGCGCAACCAACTATGAAACGGGGCAATGAGATGTCAGGCCCTTTTGAGGTGTCAAATTTCTAAAAGTCGGCGCCATCTTTACGCGCACTTTTGTAAATGGCAGAGCCATCTTATTTTGGTAGGGTGTAATATGTGGTTGGTGGATTCATTTGATAATCATGATAAACCTAAGCTGGGATGATGATTTCAAATGACGAACGAATCTCTTTTTGGGGGGCCACACCACCAACCAGACGGGTTGCTGTTGAAACCCCAATGCACTATACCCCGCTGACTGTACCCAATTCTAAAGTTTGGACAATAGTAAAACACATATAAAAAATAAACACCCACGAGATCCCATGAGTGGTTGGAGTGGTTGACTTTTCGCATTACCACGTTCCATCCACACAGTGGGAATTGTTGGGCAATTTTTCTCCGTTCAGCATACCACCCGCCCCAAAAGAAGCTACCATTTTGGGCCTTTTCTTGCTTGCCTTTTTGCAAACCCTGAAGGATTTGGGAGGGCACTGCGAAAGGCCGTGAGGGATACGGATAGCAACTGGGCTCGATGTTTTGAGGGATGGTTGGTGTTGCGAAGAGGTTTCTAATGGCCGAAATGATGTGAATGCACGCAATTCCAATCAATTCAGTACATAGCACATTGCCTCATTCCATTACTCATTCATTAAAAACAAATAATGTTCATCTTCTATGTGCATTGGCTCTTGCTGCCAGCGTCCAGTCTCACTGGTCGCGAGGCACAACGGCTGGTCACAGCTTCTTTGATTCTGGCGGAAAGAACATGGATTTGGACGACTTCATTTGGGGGCTTCATCAACGTGCAGGTGCTCCCCCGGTATCTTTTGTCTATGCCTTCGTTTATATTTGCAGGCGTGGAGTCTTCCCGGGGGCAGGGCAGGGGGATTCTTGTCCTGATGAGAGTCTAGAGTTGCCACACTACCTATAGATGGCCCATCTTCCGTATTAAAGTATCCTGGAGAAAAAAGGAATATAGACAGGACTTGTGGACCTGCTCCATGGGAATATGGTTGCTGAAAACAACCATGGAATGTTATGCAATATTGGAAAAGAAAACCATATTGAATCAAGAATCATGACATACGTCATCCACATCGAGATATCCGTGGACAACACAACTGCACCCCAAGCGACCGCCTGCCAGCCTGCGAGGATGTCCGAGAGCCAGATGGAAGAACTGAATCCCCGCACAGTTCATCATTTACTCCTAGCAGCTGTGACCATTGCTGCGAAGACACCTGTCTTCTACTGGATGGCGTCTGTGAGGGTATCCTCTATAGTTAAAGCTGGCATCGGTGCATTGGAAAATTGCAATTGTTTGCGGGTAAATCAATGTAAGGAAACATATGTCGTATGGAAAAGTGTGGATCATTTGTTCGGCTATTTTTGATTACCAGGGGGTAGGACCACTTGAACCCCATTTTTTTCAGGATTAACTCGCAAATTTGAATGAAATATGATGAAATCTCAAGTTTCTTGTCCACTTGGGCCCAAGGATGCAACAGCCACAAAGCTTCGACGTCAATCTCTATGCACAGGCGGGGCACGTCACATGTGAGCAGCTTCAGCTTTTGGAAGCGAAGTTCCTGGAGTTGTTGCAGTGGAACGTGGATGTTTGCCACAAGAGCTTCAGAAGGATTTTCCGCCTCCTGAGCCAAGCAGCTGCTTAGCATCGTATACATGGCATATGGCAGCCATGGTGACGACTGATGTAAAGCCTCGACCTTGACATGGCCTTTCTCGGCAGCTTCTCCGTGCATGACTTTGAAGAGAGATTGGAAGCAAAAGAGAACGCTGGCTGGGAGTTTGACATATTTTGAAGAACTGATCATTCATCTTC